ATTCAAGTATTATGAGTAATGGGTGATCTTTACCCAGGGCTAGTCAAAGAAGTATCCACAATGTTAGTAAAATCGGAAAGAAAGGAACAAATAGATTTCTCTTACTTAACGTATATCAGAGAGGCATAACAAGCGATATGTTCCATTATAGAATGAACATATTTGACCAGTCTATTGGCATTGGCGTACGGGACCGAATGTTTGCCTGAATTTCTCTCACCCGAATTTTACCTCCAGTCTCCTACGCCTATGTCTATTCTTGAGAAGAGCGCGTGAAACAAAGCCTCTCAATAGCTCAACGTATACTTTAAGGCGAGCCCAAGTCGTTCACAGCATATTATTATTCTGTTCCATTACAGTCAATATCAGCGAAAAATATCGAGAAGATAACCGACTGCAAGCAACTACAATCGAGTTTATGGTCGCAGATTCCAATTATGGTAACGTTCTAGAACTTTGTTAGAACATATCACACTAACAATCACGGCAACACGACATAATCCAACGATTCTCGCGGCATGCCGCGAGTTGCTAGTAGATTCTGCCAATGGCAACGTCGACATGAATCACAAATATCAGAAGGTCAGTTAATCTGTACTTAAGCCGAATTTTGTTCAATGATAACCAGCTTAGAAACACAAATCTTTGTATGTAATATCATATTTCTCGACATTAAAACGTTAAAATCGCTAACTGTATGCATTGATAATTTTTATCATTTATATGCATTAAAATTTACTCAATTAAATTAACTAACTGAAGAAGTCAATTTGTATTTTAAATCAAAACTGGTATTACGTAACGAGATCATTCTAACATTTGGAATTTACGGATTTTTTTTCTGAAGAAAACCAATTAATGAATTAATGACAATTCCCAATTTAAATCTTTGACATCCAATTGCATTATTTATTCATGTAATTTAAGGAACTTTCTGAAAGTGACCCGTTAAAGTTTCTGCATCCAAAATACTCAGCTGTAAATTCCATTCGTTGATGCATTCTTGTCGACTTAACCAAGCGATGGATCATATTATGCAACCAGTTGCAAGCTGATTCTGCCACTCACAAGGTCGACAAGCGTAACCTTTTATGAAACGGCGGCAATAAGTCTCTTGCTGAAAGTTGGCTTTATCGGCCTGGTAGCAAATTAACTAACATGTTTTACAACAGCACTGGGAATACGATACCATAATAAATAGATTCTGTATGCAATTCCCTTTCTCCCGTTACATTGAATTGGTTGTGTTGTACTATTTTGATAATTATGTTTATTTTAATCTAAGGGTTTGACAGGTCAGCGTGTTTTTAGCAGATCGATTGACAATACGAGTTAAATATTATTTACAAAGATTTCCGTCTGGTTTCTAAATTTAGTAATATCTGGTTGCCACTGGAACATAGTGATAATCGTAATGTAAATACGAAGCGCCGTGTGCTACAGGTTGTGCACGTTAAAAGATCCCTTGATAGTTGAAAATCGAAAAAGAGCAGGTTAATGCCACTGTCCTGGCAAAATTTCCAGCATTGCACTCTGCATGGCGTTCCCTGTCTTCATTAATCCACATGGTGCAAACAAGTAGGACGTGAAACTCATTTCATTTTATTTGTTAATGATATGTAATGAATATCTTTAATGTTTTAGGAATTTTAGGTTGTTACATTGCGCATTCAGTATACCATTAAAATCGAAATTATTTTTCAACAGAGATTAGGGAAAGATTCAGTTGTGCTGACAAATTGGAGAGTAATTGTTTAGTAAAATTGACACTATGCTACGTTGTTTATATAATCGGTTACATTATATTAACGCTTAAATATTTCCACACGAATTTATTTCTGTAATATTGTTTCTTTATAATGCTTAATTGTCTAGTCTGTCCATGTTTTATACATAAAGAGTTAGAAGACTGTCGTGTATTATGATTGTTGACTCTACTTCACAGTACAATACTGTTTTAGATTTAGTTCACAAGTTATGTTAGAAAAGTTAAACTATGGCAATTAATAGCCCTTAAATCAGATATAGAGTGTTTTTTGCGTCAATTAAGATTGAAATAGAAGTGGGGCAGTGTGGTGTACGGTGAAGGTCAGTGTAGGGTAATGGAAGCAGAAATGTTACGGACACACTAGGTAGATGCGCTTTGTCTATGATGCCTATCAAAAATCCCCACAGTACACCGCATCGGATGCCGTACCTCGTCTATTCGTATCTGAAGTAGTGACAAGAATATGAAATTTGATTTACATTCTACTTTTCTATCCTAGTCATATTTGGTAATGCTATGCTGGACAAATCTTCATGTAAGAGACCAGCATGTATCAGTAATGACCTCTAGCTTATCATTGAAGACTTGTCTGTATATAAAGTTAATAACCTTAAGTTATCAAGCTTGACAGTCATTGGTTAAATGTTATATTATAGCAACAATTGGGCTTCTGTGCTTCGTAGAGTAGGACGTAAAACTCCATTTCATTTCAGTTTTGTGTTTCGTAGCGTTAGTTAAGGCACAAGTTCCTTAGGGGTGGAATCCTTTTAATTCTCAACATTAGCACGACGACAATTGTATCAACATTCTATTAATATATTATAGTCTCTATTCCAACCGCCGTTAGCTATTTGGACAGATTTCACCTAGTGTACAAATAAACTCTCTCAAAAGGGGACATTTCGCATCACTGCAGATGTAAGGGTTTTCAATTCGGAAAGATGCACATTTTTTTAGTTCAATTAGCGTCACGTGACATGCAGACCTTGAACTTCTGACATACAAAAATCAGTTTCGTTAAAAAAAAACTTTGATAGATCTGCAGACAGGACATAAATGATGTAGGGCATGAAAGAACTACAAAAATATCCAGTTTTCCGAATATATCGGTGTCGGGCGGATCCGAGGTATTCAAATAGGTTTTAACCCCCGCGCCTGCAGAGATGTGGAATGTCCCCATTTCAGAGACCTTATTTTTTCTGTCTGTACACCAGCTGACATAACATGTCGTAATAGATATCAGAGGCTGGAACAGAGACAGATATTTCGGTCTAAATCTAGCTCTGTAGTGTTCCGTACGTACATCGAGTCAAATGCCTCGTGCTGAAAATTTAATTTAAGAAATAGAACACAATATACGCTAAAATCGTTTATTTGATGAAGGTGGTCACAGTTTGAAATCTACCGAAGCGTTGATATGAAAGAACTAACTGAATTCAAAGACAACAGGATTTTGGCCTCAAAGAGAAATGTCACCAGGTTACTGCCCATGCCATATTTCGTCATTTCGCCCAATTAAATGAAGGGCGTGACACCATTCATTCCTTTTCATAATCAATCAATCAATGATCAACAACAACACATCTGCTTGAAATGTTTTTCGAAAAAAACTGGATGCATGAAAAATCAAGGAAATTCATAAAATAACTAACAAGACCATTATCATTCACTTTCATTTGATAAACGAGGTAATTTGTCTTGTTAACATGATACTATGATAAACCGACACAAAAACATTTAAGACAATTTTATAGGCAATTGCTAGTCTATAGATTTTTATTGGACTAAATGCTGTCAGTAAAACGCTATAACAATACATTTTATTCAGGAAATCGCGACCAAATAGCTCCTCTTCAAATGTGAAAATGAAGTATCAATACTACTCTAGGCCTGCACATTAGAGAAACATAACTTCCGCGTAATCATCTATACCTAGATAAAGTCATGTATTCTGGACAGCAACGCTATTGATTTGATTATTGCTATCCACCCCCTATTCAGCCGTCTAGTATAGCCTGTTATCCATAGGTGGTGCATCTTCACAATGTCAAAGTCTGCCTTATACCTTGACTGCGGTACCACCTTTGTTTAATAAACGTTATTTTGTAGATGCAGCAATTTGATTGTATTGTACGCTATAGAATACAGCCAATCATAGCATGTTCAAGGAAAGTCTATTAACACTGAACCATAATTTTTACTCTCTGTCGAGTGCTGTATTTTCTTGAATACAATTTAAACAAAACGCTGCATTCCGTTATACAAGAAAATAAAGCAATAAAGAAAAAGCACGTAATAGCTTGATATTGTGAAGATGTAGGCGACTCTATGCGCTGGTACGTAGATTTATGCACAGAAAATCAAACCAGAAGACAAAGTAGATATGAGCTATTTTTAGTTTCAATGTATGAAATCATGATAAAATGCAAATCGATTTCCTCTATTGTTGGTTAAAAGGGAAATTAATATCTTGAAAGAAAAATCAAAGAATATAATTAATGATCAAATAAATAAGACGGGGCTTTGAAACTGTTTTAGTGGTTACTACCCAGATGAGGAAATTAGTATATCATGCTATTATGCTGGGATTGACTACCAATGGATAAAGTCAATATCTCTGACAAAAAATCCATGGCAAGACAATTGTAAACACCATATGCATCTTTTTATGTAGTCCAATATGAAATATGCAGTATGTGTGTAAATGGATCGACCTATTTTTAAAATGAATCCAGGCAGAAAAGCGAATCTTATCATCTCATCAAACCATTATATCCACCTCTCAGGTAGACGACGTGATCCAATTGTTATCAAATAGGTACAGAAACTGCGGTGGGATCAGGTCTATCTAACCCAGTGCGAGTAATTTGGCGCCATTTGCCAAAAATCATTGAAAATCCCTGAAGCTCTCTTATTCTGCTAATGGTAAGGTTAACCAGGGTCACTTTCTAGTCTACGGATAACCTCTCGTAGAAGCTGGCAAGATTCAGCAGGTTTCAGACTTAACCTATTTTAGCTGCTCGACGCCATTTCCATGTCGGCCCCAATCTTTAAACCTTCGTCAATTACTACAACTTTTTGGCATTTTGCCTTTCCATTTTAATTTCGACTACATGCAACATTAATGAGATCAGAATTTCATATAATGAAAAATCTGCATTCTATTGGAAAATATAACGTCCTTTTTCATCAAACATAATTTTTTTTCTTCTTTATTTTCAGCAATTGGAAGCCCATGGGATTACAATTACATTTAGGAAGATCTACACAAAACATTACTTCCATGGCCACTCGGAGAATCCATTCATCAAGATTGTCAGTGAAACTCGACTAGATACTAGAAGTAAGGCTCAACTTTGATATTTAGATTAGTTTAATCATATAATCCCCTTTTCTTTTTTTTTGATAAGCTTAAACCTCGGTCGATAAAACCTTGGATTTGACTTCGTCTGATACTGTTTTCTTTGAAGTCGAATCACTTTCAAAATTGAAAAAAGAAAATGAGACGGTAAAATGAAAAAAAAAGAAGAGATAAGTATCATTTTTCAATTCGACGAAAGTAGATGTAATTTACCACCGAAGTAAGAATTTACGCATCGACAATTTAATTATTTCACAAAAGTACTTCCATGGTAGCCTATCTGTCCTAACTGACGGAACAACGGAGTAATTTACCTTTCAAAAACTTACTTTCTTAATGTATACTGCGTGATTTTTTAGTACAACAGAAAATGTTCAATTTATTGTTAATGACGTACAACTGCTTGTTTCGAAATAATGACAAATAAGTTCCTTATAAAGCTAAGTGGTTTGCAGACACGAACATTTCTTACTGTGGACACTTTTGTCTATTAAACTTAAAGTCTTCTTATTAAATTTGTTGGCTCTTGAACTATTATAATCCTGATAACTCTTTATTTTAAATGGGTCAGAATTTGATCGTATGAGACCAACAAACAATCAACCCCCAATCTTCACACACACGCGCTCACCCTTACACAAAATGTGTAAAAATTATTAGGACTATATAGAAGAAGTACATGCGTATGAGAAGAACAGATTATGTTGCTGTGATGAAGTACATAACCAACAGATGTACAAAAAGCAAAGTGAATGATGGATTTTTAGTATGATACATGTATTGCAAAAAAGAAATGGAATAAGTCGTGTCCCGTCATTAGTCAACCCAACTGTAAATGGTCAAAACCCTACTGTGTTATCATTGTACAATATGAAAGTTTCTCCTTATAACTATCATCTGCTATTGGTGGGGTCTATAAAACGTTCAACTGGTTGTCTCTTTGAAGAGATTGTAAAGATGTTTTTGAAATTTTTATGTGTATTAGGCATACTGATATCACCAGTTTGCACCGTTCCAATCTTCAATCAGATGTTTGTGGTTCCTGCTATTCCACCAAAACTAAGTGTTTGATGACGTTACTAATCGCAAAGGGCCTTATGTGATAAAGCATTATTTACGATAAGTGATGTCATCAAATACTTATTTTTTGAGGAATTGCAGAACCATGGACGTCTGACCGAGTAAATTGATGGTATGAGTGACCCTGATACACAAGTTTAGAAAACCTCTTTACAATCCTTTAAGCTGCCGGTGATTCATATAAATTACATAATCAGTTTCATGTAGCTGTTCGTCTCTAAAATGCATCAGAAATCTTAAAAAACATATAAAACACCAACGACCAAGGTTGACAGAACAACATTAAGAGAAACACATTAGAAACCATTTTAAATTAGAACAAATCGACTTTGGTGAAAGTGATAAAAGAAGCCAGGCCTGTTTTTCTGATCTTTAAATCCTTGTTTGAGACAAATTCAATTAGTTTTCTTCAGTTATCTGTCCCTGTCATTCAGATTAACTAGCGAAGAAGACAGTTAAAAGTATAGATAAAAAGAAACGGTTTTAAGTTGGAAGTCCGAAATCAATTACAAAGTTCCAGAAAGGGATTACTATTACTCTTCTACTGTAAAGTTCTATAAAATGCATTGCGTTGCCATTGTTTGAATGGAATAGCTTTAAGCTATAAGACATGCGGAGTTTCAGTTGACACTTACCTTTTATACTTATAATCTAAGATTACCCGAGAGGTAACTTGCTTTGATGGTTATAGGCGATATTCTTTGAGGTATGTTATGGAAAACTAAGACGATCGGTTGTTTGTTACAATGATAACATGTTATTCACAAGACGATTGGTAATATTTTTACAATGACAACAGGTTATTTAGAAGACGATTGGTAGTTTGTTTAAAATATCAACTTAAACGATTTGATGGCTTGATGGTTGCCAATGGATGATCGCAAGCCTGTTTAAAATGACAAATGGTGATAAAGAAGGACTTTCAGGTAATCCAAGACGATCAGTTGCGATTGACCAAGTAGTTGTCTCACAACGATCAGGGCGTTTGAGGATAAGACAATCTTGTACTGATAAACACAAATGCTTAGATTGAGCTGCATTACAAATTTAAAGGTGTAGGAGCTGGTGTAATAGACTGGAGGCTTTGTTGAAAACACGTAACTTGATTGGCTGGCCCAAGAGACTAACAAGCTGACACAACCTTTCTCTAAAGAAATAATTTAAAGCTCCATGGGTAAACCTTACTTAATTTTTTTATAGAGAAGATTTGACGTGGGATGCGTATCTTTAGAATGTGGTATAAGAAGTATTGCTATCATCTGGAACGGAAGTGAAGTGAAACGGGTTACAAGAATTTGCCCAAAGGCGGATAATGTGTGTCATTGATAAAAAAAAATCGACGAAATTTTGACGGAGGCCAGCAAGGATATTGATCTTACTGACGTTTATTGAACTGTTCTCATTGATTCAAAGTTTGGGTAAATATTGCTGTGTCGTAATATTAAGTAAAAACTAAAGATCTGTGACAATCCAAGAGGTAATTGCCATTCTTGTTTATTTGATCGAAATGTTTCATTTCCTCTGTTTTGCTGGATTTGTTTTTAACAAAAAATTTGACTGATATAGTTGCAGCGGTAAAAATCATGACCTTCAACTCGCCCACATAGGACATTAGAGTTGAATTATTACTGTTTTACAAATGATGCGTAATACTGACCCTCAGAAAATCTGTTTCACACTGCCAGTGGTGTATCTCTGCGGTGACCGACATGGCATAAGCGTCTTGACACAATGATACGTATTACTGAACTTAATAATTGTAACCCACCAGTTATTCTGTCTGCTATCCAATTTGCTTTACGCTCGTTTATTTAAAATATGCTAATTTCATTAAAACTCACTTTTTATGTTTTTATTTCTTAACATCAATAGTGCATGTGTAAATATGTGAGATTCGCGTAAAGCATGAGATACATGTAAACTATTCACATCGTAAACGGACAACATTTGTCAATGGGTAGCCTTTGGCCTTACCGACTGATAGTCCTTCAATACATTGCTTTGGGTTACAGGAATGCTAAGTGTGCTTGACTTCGTTAAAGCCTGTCAGCATCTATACACAACTTATCAATTGATTTAAGTTGATCTTTTGGAGTGGAATAATAGTATAAAAACTGAAAGAATCTCGATAATGATAAAAAATTTAGCGAAATTAAGTGCCAAGAATCATATAAAAGAGTTATGTTTCCATTTGGTTTAAACAGTCCTGTTAATGGGATGCATTTGATAACTCTGGCGACGTTTATACCCATTTCATATTATTTCACTTCGATTTCCTACAAATTAAAAGTTTTTACAAGATTGAATATACTTCTTTATTAAGTTGAGGTAATTTTTAGAAATTACAAAGTTATTTTATGTCTGATTATCGATACTATCAATAAGTCTAATTTGGTAACTAATGGATTGATTGGACTGAAGTCACCAAAATAGTTCTGGGGGAACTTTATCCTTGCAAGGAGGCGGATCGATGTTGCCCTTCTTTACTAGTACAGTCGGGTGCAGGATATAGTAGGACGTAAAATTTCCATCTAATTTCTTTATCCAAAGGTCACTCAGAAATATCATTATCCTACAAAATCTTTCAAAAACTATCAATGGTGGCCCAAACGTGTAAAACTACGAACTACTTTGTCGATCTTATTCCTCATATTATATCAATAAATATAAGATATAATCAAGTTTTATAATCAGGCTCCAATTAAGTCTTCACTAATTAACGGAAAGTTATAATTAATCCAATTTAAACCTGTACTAATTGTTAGTATCCTTGAAGTGAATTAATTAAGAACAAGTGATATTGATTTTCGATATTTGATTTTTTTGTTCTTTTTCTTCCTTTTCCGCACTTTTAACTATATGTCTTTTGTACTTTAAAAGGAAATATTTGCCATTTTCGGGGGTTGATTTGGTTCTTGAAATATATATAGTCTTTAGAAGTTCTAGAAATGTGAAAAATATCTCAAACTAGGAATTACAGTTTCTAATGTTAACTTTCAAACACAGATAATTCTGGACACACATGGATTTGAAGGCCCAAATGAGCGGTGAGCTGTGAACACTATTACCTATTAGCGTAGCTACAAAAAGTCCTTTTTTGAGACTAAGGCACAATTGATCGACGGATGGCGAACCTGTCCTTTTAAACGAGATACAGGTCAATCAGTTTATCATAATGATTACTTCTTGAAACCAGTGTATCGCTAGAATATCTGATTTCAATAATTAAGTGTTATCTTTTGGAAGCAGTTATCTCCTACAGTAAAATATGTCACGTTCTTGGATATCTCAACTCTTACATTACTTAAACTGCCCCTTGAGAGATTCAAGGGTTTTATATTATATTTATATAGATTGCATGGATACACCATCTTCCCTTCGCAACTCCGATTTCAAGTTTGGGATTTTAGGAATGACGTCAGGAAAAAAACAAATTGGTTTTGACCTCGCGAGCGCAAATACCAATCATACTAAATTCTTTGTCAACTTCTATGTCAAGATTTGTTCATTTTTTTTTCTGAATGGCATACGTCCGGCAAATCAGATGGTGCAAATAGGTACCTCCGAAATATATAAAAGTGTAATTCTGTTCCAGTTAACTAACGTAAAGTTGTTTTGGACAAAGATTAACTCAATGTACGTGTACTTCACTTTTCTTCTTCAAGAACAACGAGTTCTGGTCATTTCATCCACCAAACACCAGGGAGTTTGATAATAACTAGAGAATTATTGAAGATTACTTCAGGATTTTAACAGTTTTGAAGAGAAATCTGTACCGTAAGCAGCTTATTAGGGGAAGCTTTCTCTTCATTAAAGGTATTAACTGTCAAAAGAAGCATCACCAATAATAATCCAACAATAGAAGACAATATTGGCGAGAATTGAGACTTTCTATTGTGTCAATGTCTAATGAAGTCTTGTGATTTATAGATTTTTGTCTTAAAAGGAATTTGAAACTTTTTTCAAAAATTTGTCTCAAATTACTGGCTTTGGAACTGTTGTCATTTGATAGTGTCTTTGTTTTTCCGTATGTCTAAAACTTGACCTTTTGGAGTGTCCATTTTTGTATATTTTTCTGATTGACAATGCTTCGATCATTTGATTTCAATATACACTGTTTCGTATTTCTGCTTATGGTTCTGTGTTCTTCATTTTGAACTAACTACATTGCTGATATGTATAGAGTATTAATCACATTTTAGTCCAATGTATGAGAGTGAAAAAATATATCATTATAAGGGAACAAGATACTCATGTAATACGTTCCAACTCAGGACAATTTAATATTTAATATTAACATTAGTGGAAAACTCCCCGTTGCTAGGATGGACCAAAATTCGAGATCCCATTTGTTATGAACTTTGTATGTTTAAATCCCTGTGAAGTCGGTATTCGGACAACGGGCATATGCCGTTGTGATGCCCAACTTTCATTACACACTGCATGGCGTTTCACTTCACCATTAGCACAATCATGTACAGATAAATAAGACGTAAAATTCTTTCATCTTTTTATCTTGAACCACAACCTTTTCAGTGTTAGCTGAAGTGAATGATTCTGGTTTTTTTTTCAATTCAATATATAGGTTGCATCGATTTTGAGTTACATTAGAAAGCTAATAGTGGATTAGAAATTAAATTCCTGAAATATTCAGATAAATTGTTATCTTAACCTATAACTAACTTTATCGGCAATGTCTTTTTTTTCAAATGCTAAAAGGTTTGCAACACTTCTTCCTGTTTATTTTAAGAACGCTTTTCCTTCTTAAAACGCAAATCCACTTTTGGTTTTCAATTCATTAGGTTTTATGGCCTGCTTCTTACAAATAAGATTAACGTTTCTATGTTGGTCTTTCTTTAACCCCGAGGCAACAAAATAGTTAATCTTTAAACATCAAATCAAATAAACATATTATACGTTTTATGTAAGAGTTGGTCTGCATAACAGTTGTAAAAAAATGGTTACCAATTCATTGGTAATATGTACTATATAGCAGAATTTCATTTGGAAGTAAAAATCTGCAAGTTTGTTGTCTTGATATGATTACAAATACAGTAAATAATCCTTCAATGGAATCCTTTATTGACTTCATTATTATATTTCTGATGACAGTGTGAGAACCATATTGAAACTTTGAAATTATAATCGTATAAAAGTATATTTTTATCTATCCATTTCAAGTATTTGTCTTATAGTTGTAGTTTATATTGTGGCAAATCCATATTCTACTGTTCCGTGGTCTAACTTCCAGTTACAACACAAACCGTGGTTAATGATACTGCATCACGCATGCCAAGGCAATATTACACCACAACATACACACTTAACCATTCACAACGAATAAAACCGTGACCGTGACACAAAAACACAACCAACGATGACCATTGACAACCAGAATATAACTTTTAATTGTATCTTTCTCTATTTTAGTTTATGTTATGCTGGGTGCCTATTATGAATTTATTGGTTTAATGGATCATCTACAAGATACAGGGTTATTAGATTCCGGAGAATATATAGTTGTAGGGGTTGACGAAGATGCTTATGATATCAACAACGTACAGAATTATTTACAAGGTAAACTTGATGTTTTTTGTATAGACATGCCATTAATTCCGCGCAATATATATCATGGATGACTAAAATAATGTCTTCAGTTTTCAGTAACATTAAATATCGTGACGTTACTATAACTGCCAAGCACAGTGCTCTGCGATGCACAACGTAGCAACATATGTCTATCAAAAATTATCAAAAGTCCAAATAATGCAACAGTAGACCACGGCTACTTACCCACTCGATGCTTGAGTATATGCCTAATAAATCTGATATCAATTTTGTTCTAGTAGATTTTATAACAATAAATGAAAACTAGATTTTTTTAACATAGTCTATGTCTTCCATTTTTCTTTCAGGCATTTTCTCGGACAATGTAACTAAACGAGTAGCAGCGGCATTTCGTCATTTTATAGGAGTAGTTCATTCTCCACCAGTTGCAGAAGACTATCTCAACTTTTCCAAGATCGTCAACAAATTTCTCGAATCTCCACCATTTAATTATACAAATCCTTTTCGACATCTAGATATAATGAAAAAGGTAAGGCGTATTAGTTTACTCTGGTTTGATAATGGTTTACTAGGTTGATCCGATTAGAATATGACGTATACAAAATATATTGAAAAACTGATATAGCAATGATAATGGTTTATAATGGTACACATGCAGCTATTAAACGGAATTAAATATATATATACTTTCATTTTGATCAAGGGCTTATGTGTGGCTTTGGACGAGAGAACAAACGTTAAAACAGTTATTTCCCAATTTGTTTTCCTTGTTAACACGCCCGATTAATGGCTCCGATTTACTGCGCCTAAAGCATCTCATCGGATAGCAATCGAGAAGACCAAATTACGGCAGATGCGCAGATAGGATTCCCCAGTTACCAGTTCCTAGCATAAATTCAGTTGCCCACAAACTCTGCCAGTCTGTTGAGACCACCTACAATTGGAAATTCCCCCCCCCCCCCCCTATAGGGAACCAGTGATCCGAATGAGAATATCAAAAGATATACAGTGAGTCCAACCGTAGGTAGTTGCGTTTGGTTCAGTTCAGTCGTACTGTAGGTTGCCGCAAGTCATTATGAAATATATCCAATACAACAATATCACTATATTCCCTACAGAATATCTAGAAGACAATTGGCTTTTTAATTTGTCTAATTGAAGGATATTCACATTGAGCAATAAGTAAGTAGAATAAGAAGCAAAACTGTAGTTTACGCTCTCAATGTTTCCGAGAATTTTCTTGATTAAGGAATTGGGCTAGGATTAGAATAGTCATTTAAAATCGATACAATATGTCTCAGTTCATGGTGTAGTGAGACGATAGTATTGAAATTAGCTGGAGTTGTACACACTTTTGTTCTACATTTGATAGCCAAATTTAATTTGTGGTTAATGAGGACGTCCAACCATGCAATGAGCAGTGAATGGACAACAAATGTATTTCTGTGAATGTCTCGTGCTACTCAACCCTTTGTGGTTATCTTTTGAACAAAGACCGATCATTAATGAGAAATTGTACTATGTGCAGTTTTTAGGAAATGTCGAGTCTTACAGAAACGATTTTGCGACCGTGTGTCTGATGGCTATCTAAAATACATATTTGTACATCCGATATAGCCACTGTCACTGGTTACAATGTAACACTGCTTTTTTGAAAAACTCTTTGCTCCCTAACATATAACTAGGCCTACAACCAAAAGCGTGGTACTTGGAAAATTGAACGAAACGGTTATAACAATTTCATTTTCTATCATTTTTAACCTTTTGGAAATAATCTGTGGTCACCATTGCTTACAATTTCACAACGGCTTTTATACCCTCTCCGTTAACATGGACATGTTAGAGTTTACAATTACCATAAGCTGTCTTTCTTCTACAATGTGACTTGTGACTTAAAAAGTGGTATAATTTAATGGAAAGACTAGGGAAAGGTCACCATGAGATTTGATATCCTCCCTTTTTTTGTAAAAAGGAGTTATTGGTTTTAAATGATATTAGTATTAAAGAATAATATGGTCTAACGATTATATTAGGGTCGTAATAAAATAGTACTAAGTGCCATCACTGGGTTAATTCAATCAATATTAACAGCTTCTTCAATAATTTGATAATATTTCAGATTTTCTTATGTCTAATAGAATTTCCTCGTGTTATAACAATATTAATATAAGGTTTTATAGAGTAACATCTAGTAATTGCCGACGACACGGAAATCTTAAGTTACGTAGAGTCTTAATATGCTAGTTACCGAGAATAAACAATTACAGAGACATTAACTGACTTAATGAAAAAAATATAGGCCGAGATGTGCCTTCGATAATGTGTCTTTGGTCTCTTTAACCTATACCTTGGATGACAACGTTGAAGTTCAAGGAAGAGCGAAATGCTTTATGTCTCCTTATGTAAGTTAAGACCTTTATCAACTAATATCAAATGTTTCCCAACACCTAAAAACGAGCATATTGTTTTGTGGATTTGTCCTTCAAAATATTCCTGTGGGGTTTTAAAACAGATAAGGATTAATGCATGATGATTTATGATGCCAAATTGGTAGCATATTGTTCATGATTTTATAGCATAGGAGGGTTTCGGATTAAACTAGACCAAGCTGACCTCTCCTGAGATTTTACATAATGAAAAAAAATCCGAAGAGAAAATCCAATTATCTTGTTATATCAGTTATAATTGAAAAAGAAAGACAATAATGAAAAACAAATCCCAACTCTCTAACTGAATTAGATTAAGCAAAGACAATTTGAGTGTATTAAAGTGTTTACAGTAACCCAGGAGAAGATTTAAGCTATAAGAGTTTGTGGAAGTTGGGAAGGTTAACCGTGGAAGTGCACTTACATTTGCCTAAGTAGCTTTTAATCCGTTCGCGTCAAAATTCCATGCTAGTCATTAACAGTAAGACTTTACAATAAAAATAACAGTAACATTGCGTGAAAATTCTTATTCTTTTATTGTCGAACCTTTAAAGCAAATTTTACTCTCTTTCATGGCACAATGCTTAAATCAATCGCTGAATTACGTTAAAATAGGAAGAATGAAAAATCGCAGTTGCCCTCGATGTTCGACACGTGCTCATAAAAAAAAGAATTTGTCATCAACCATTGAAGTTGCAAATGAGGTACAATTAGCACTTCGCAGATGCTTTGAACTGCAAGTTCAGCTGAATCGAGCTTGATCCAGAATAGATGATACTGCCTTATTCATCATTTAGATGTTGCGAAGCTTTGAAGAAACATAAATTACATTTTTGGTCGAATATTGCATCATTTGTTTAAGAAAATATTGAAACATTTGTAGCTAACAAGTTGAAATCTTGGAATCCGTCCAAACAAATCGTGGCTAAAGATCGACTGGAGTGACGAAGAAGCGCCTTTTCCAATGACCAACTAAAGAAGATTTTAAAGGTTGAAATTTATCTAGCCGTGTCCCTTTACAAACCTGTCTGAAAAATGTTGTGAGCGATGCATGCCTATTAATATTGCTAGTCTCTATCTAAAAGAACCATCTGACTGATAGAAGAAATACACCCCAGACAAATTAGCTGTCTTAATTAAATTATTTGTCGAGATAATTTACAGATATAGGTAGAGAGTTTTTATCAACAGACACAGTTTTACTGATTTTCTAAATTTTATTGAGCTTCTAGAATTTATCTACCAACCAAGTCTTCGTATTTATGTGGGTATTATAAATATAATCCGTTAAGCTTCCAGTGATAAAGATTTATTTTATCTTTTATTTTTATTTTGCAATACGGTTATACTTTGATCTACACGCGAAGGCTTAAAGTGAGATTGACCTTGCGACTGACATGGGTCACAAAATCCCAGCGTTGGGAATTTGGTTGGCTGACGGTGTCATCAATCTGACGGACGTTCAAGTGGGCCGTCTTTAGATCCTAACTAAAGTGGATTTATTAAAAATAAAAGCTAATAAAAAACTAAACGAAGCTTTGTTTTAATTTTAATTAATGTGAATAATCGAAGCTTTACTTTCTATTAAAATTCAATTTGTCGAATTGAGCAGTCGGAATATTGGCAACGAATTCTTGCAACTTAACCACTTTAAAACAGAGTATGGTCTGAATGGCATGCTTTGAGTCTCCAGTCGACCTGAACAGTGTTTTTGGTAGTTTGCCAGTATATGGAGCCCTTATTGCCATCGGATAAATCCATCCGTCAAATATATGGTTATGATAATATAGACATCAATTTTCTCAGATTAAAGTTATTAGCTTTAGTTTTATCCCTGTATCAAGGTACAGATGATCCCTATCGATTTCCATTAATTGAATATAGCCAGTGGAAGAAATAGCATTACTTTGATGCCAGATGCCAATTAGAAGTTTGCCTTTGTTATGTACAATTTATTTATTTTCTAATAAAGCTGCTTATATCTGGTTTGTGTAGGGAACAATGATGTGCTCATCATACTTAATTCGATTGATAAGCTACTTATCTGCTAGATGATGATATTTCTTTATTACACGGTTCGTGTACAGTTGGTGATCCAAAAATTGCTCGTTATTTGTCAATTAGACGCTTAATATTTTCTACGTGCATGTGTCGCATAACAAGCGGATGTAATTGATATTAAACTACCAAAAGAATGTGTTTGCCAGTGGGAGTTGGTTTGCACTCCAGATGTACCCCTATTATGATTATTATACATAAAATATTCTTAAAATATGTGTCAGAATGGACCATATCAATTTAATTTTTCGAAAATTTTCTTGGAAGAACTCTCTCAGACGCTTCATGGGGGGTGCACGAAAATGACACCTACACAGAGTTGCCAAATTTTGAATTCAGCCCTGACAGTTGTCCCCGCCATTGAGTCTGCCTTGTACACCCAGTCTCACCGGTGTTTGGAAATAAATGATCTATCCTTTTCATAGACTTAAGTTATATTCCCATTAGAATTTCCACAACCGGTTTACCTACACAATACTAAAAAATCTGTTATTGGCTTTGATTGTTTCAGAACCAGATTTTTTTTAAAGCAGGATAATGCTTCTCGGAATTTGTTTGTCTCACAGTATTATCAAAGTGACGAATATTCGTCCGTCTTTAGACCTTAACTGATGTGGGGTCTATTAAAAAAAATTGAAAATAAAAGTTAATACAAAAGGAACGAAAGCTTGGTCTCATTTTAAGTAGACTATTTTTAATTATTTGTTTATTTTTTTGGTATGATTCAAGGAATGATTTTGGCTTTCGTTTAAGTTACAACCGAAGACTAAATATATTTTACAGTGCTTCATTGTTAATTACAATCACATATATATATTTCTGCTACAAATTTCTTTACCAGACCAGAATACTATTAATATTGATCATAATTGCACAACACTGATTTCAATTGTTTGTTATTCCAGATAAAGCCAGAAGCCGCCTATCTGTATGATGCTGTATGGTTGTATGCCAGAGCCGCTGATAAAATCCTCAATAAACAACAGGACATAAAAGATGGTCGATTGATTATTGATAACATCAAAGGCATGACTTATAAAAGTAAGAAATAAAATCTTCTAACATCAATGTTTTATGAAGTGAATTTTCATTATCTACATAATGATCAACAGTCTAATTCCAGCCAAACTTGATTCTTTTCTTTTGAACGGGAGTGTGGTCTCGCTTTTCAGTTTTTTGATACAAGATTAACAGCTAATCACATGTCTGTACCTTTAATGAGTTTTAAAGAAAAAAAAGATCATAAAGTTGTCGACATTATCAATATCTATTGAGTTCCTTGATATCAACTTCAATTTATAGGAGACAATCATTTGGAGAATAGCACTTCACATCAAAGTGACTTCAATAAACCAAACTCCTAGAATTATTAAAAAATGTATTCAAAGATTTTACGCTTCACTATCCATATAATAAAACTGATAATGGCAAAAAAAGTCGTTATTAACCATTACTCCGTTAGTCGTGAGGTATCTACACAATGGTCAAGCTATTACGAACTCTTTTACTTTGACTGCAATAGCCACCTTCTTGTATGACAGAATCTTTTAAATGCGGTGATTTATCTGGATTTATCTCGATAGAAAGTCTGTAGCTAATAAGCCATAATGTTTAATGTGCGTACAACCCAATGAAATAGCCGCATTCTTTGATACAAGACAGATGGCTATTGTAGTCAAGGTATAAAACGAAGTTTGTAATATCTTGACATTATTGTAGAAGATCGTGTGGTAGTTCAATTTTACCGGCAACGACTCAAACAAATTTAACTATGAACATAATTGGTACAGTTTGACATTTACAGAATTTGACTTGAGTAGATATGACTGTTAAATCAGTATCACACCATAAACCAGATAAATCTATTCCTTGCCATTAATACTAGCTGTAGCAGACTTCATCTGAATTATTTACATGTAATAATGTTAATTTCATTATTTTTTATCAAGAACCAAATTATGATTTGGTATATTACGGAGTATTTTCTAGTTTTGATTTGTTTCCAAGGCACATATACTGAAATTAATCACTCAAAACCCAAAAAAGGAAACGCATTATTACTGATAAATTCAAAATCATGCTAGAATGACGCGAGCGGTTTTACGAGAGTCTTTCAGGCCGTATATACAATGGTTGATTCATTGCGATCGGAACTTAACTGCACCTTTCTTTACAAATTTAATTGAAATGAAAGGGAGTTTTACGTCTTATTGTCTGTATCTGATGTGTCTAATGAGGACGGACAGACAACGCCATACAGTGGGCAATTAGGGAAAGATTTTCCGGGATTCCTAATTTTACAGTCTGTAGCACAAGAAACATAGGTCTTGTCTCATCAGAACGACTAGACGCTTTACTTATATCAGACCCTCACTACCTCACTGATAGGGGAAAACCGGCTTAAATATATAAAGACCCATGCCGAGACTAAACCCTGTTGAACCTTTTCATAAATACAAGGTTACGAATTTGATATAAAAGAAATTGAAATAGCATAATTATAATTTCATGAATATTCTTGTCTACTTTCTGAGAACTACTCAGTGTTTCAACTGGGTAGAGAGTTACATAAGAGTTAATGATAATACGATGTTTGTACACTAAGGTTTTGTGTTTGCTTTTGTTAGGTGTAATCCTAATTTTAGATACGATCATTTATCATTTTATCAAATGTCAACTATAGTTATCGCACTATGAAAATATTACAGGCAAATGTCAGTGAACGTAACTACCATATGAAATACCGAATAAGCTTGTGAAATGTGCATGAAATTATTTAAATCTATCTAATTTGTAGTATGTTCTAATATTCTAAAATCTTCACAAGAGAAATTCAATCAAAAATTTGCCACCATCCATGCAGAAGTTTTTAAGTCTGGATTCTGGTCTTAAGGAGTAATTGTAAGACATCATCCGTCATATTTTTAATTCAAAATGAAAGATGATTACATTATTGAATGAATGAAAGACAAGTCTCAGAGGGTGTGCGGTTATATGATTGCAAATGTTCCTCAGATAAAGACTTCCTCAAAGATTTTCGAATTGATGTGTTTTCCAGGTGGGTGACCGGAGCCTTATAATTGCATCAACACAGTGGGGTCACAGTATTAAGAAAAACCGTGTTTCATAATAGGCGTAAATTATTTTCCAATTTTAATGCAATCAAAGACAATTTACCCCATAGGTAAAGTTTATGTAAGAAAGACAAAAAACTGGTGTGTTGTGCTATATCTGAAAAATCAGAAAACCGCCCCTGTACCGAGCACTCATCTCTGTAGACAGTGGCATCCATGATAGATTTTTGGGGGCATGAACATGGCCTTGAACTGACTAGGCTATGATGATATTTCTCTCAAATTCGAGTGAGCATGCTCAAGTTCGAAATTTTGAGATTTAATTCATACAGACCTTCGATTTAGGCGAACTGCCAATATGTGAACCTGTTACAGTTCAAAATGCAGTTAAAGTGCGGGCACACGTCGGGCGGTCTTGGTCGGAGATTTTTGTCGCCTATTAGAGTCTTGAATAAAATCTCAAGCTTATCGCGTCTCCAACAGGATTTATAATCTATAAATAATATATGTTTGATATTTGTCTCCGATATATTTGATCGTCTGCAAGACAGATCGTCATCATCGAATCAGGTTCACATCAGAACCTGTTAGTTATTTGAACATGACATTTTGTATGATACCATAATTACAAAATTAAGTCGCAACGTACATAACAATAGCACATATAATTTTATTAAAGGCCCACACTGAAATATGGACATCTATTGCCGTCGACCCCGTAGGCACTATAGAAGCTACAGTTTTTATCCAATATTGATGACACTTAGTATGCATGTATAGATCCCAGTCTGGTTCGCATATTGGTAGCAAAAGGCCCTTGTATGTACGTCGATGTTTGAATTTGGTGATAATCTCATGAACTGTTTTGCCTTGATAAAATACTTAAAATTATTTTTAAGATTATTTGAAAATTTATTATGAAGCCACTTAAGACTTTGTATTTTACCTTGCCTGGCAAGCTATCTTTTGATTTTTTGTGCAATTATAGGCAATTTACCCCATGTTTAAAATCTATATAAGATATACAAAAACTCGGATAGTGTGCTATAATATAATTGGATAGACTGATACGAGGATGTGAAATGGACAAAGTGAAGGAAAGACTAGACATAAAAAATCCATCAATTTCTAACGACACTAATTTTAAAAAGGATAAAGAATTGAATGAGAGTTTTAGGACAGTTTATAGATGATATAATGGCGAGACATGAATAATATCGCTTTCGTTATTTATTGGAACATAATGGTTAATTAATAGACGATAGTCTTCTTTATATCCTTTTGTATTAATCGTTAAACACATGTTATATATTTCTGTCAAAGGATAATTTCAGAGTATATGTGCTTTGATGTTAGGAAGGGAGCTATTTATACTTTCGAATGCGCAATAACATTCGATACATTATCACACGATAATCTGATTAACTAATATTCGAATTCTTATTTTAAATCTCATGTGCAACTACTCAGATAAATATCGAATTGTCCCTTAGAATCGAGGTTTCTCCTTATTATCGGGGAAACAACAATAAAATGGACAAAAATTCGAAAAGCTATCGGATAGATAAAATGTATATATACTTCAGTTCTGATTAATATAATTACAAAAATCTATAACACATTTTGCCGGTCAAGTTGGTCGCACTGACCAGTTCCGCTTATCCAATAATGACACGAAAGACGTTCCAACCCTTTTCATTTATATTTATATTCCAGGTGCTATGGGCTACATCAGTAGAATCAATACAGTTGGTGATGCTGAAGGGAATTTTTCTCTGGTGGCCAGAAGACAGTTGGGTAACGGAGAGTGGGGATTGTTACCCATCGGTGTCTTCCGATTGAGTGAAAATCTTACAGAACTGCCGGTAAATATAATGTTTCATCTACCAAACGAAATGTATCCAACTAGACCATCCATGCGATTTGTCGTATCCAACTAGACCTAGCATGCGAAATGTCGTATCAAATCAATCCTACCATGCGAAATGTCGTATCCAATTAGTCCTATGAAGCGAAATATCGTATCCAATTAGCCCTAGCATGCGAAATGTCGTACCCGTCAAGTCTTACCAAGCGAAATGTTGTATCCAATTAGTCCAACCAAGCGAAATATCGTATTCAACTAGCCCTACTTAGCGAGGTGTCGTATCCAACGAGTCCTACCATGCGAAATGTATCCAACGAGTTCTACCATGCGAAAAGTCGTTTCCATGAGAGGGTTTATATAGGCCAAAGACTCAACAGGTCGAGCCGTTCGACTTTCCATTAAGAAGGTCAAGGTGACAATATATGGCTTCAAATAAAGAAATGTGTCCAGACACACATTCAATTTATGTAACAGTAATAGTTTAATTTAACTATCAGATTTCTAACAGACTCTATTGTCACCAATAATTACTTTACGATGTCTCGTAATTGTCCCATAGATATAATATGACCTTATGTTGAATTGTTAAATAATAATACAATCCAGATAACTTATAGTTCCTCAAAATGTCACTTTCAGTCATTCCATTATTATGAAGGCGAATCAATTCGATGGATAGCAGGGTCTCCACCTGTAGATGAACCTAGTTGTGGATTTCGGCATGAGAGGTGTATCCCTAAGAAAAGTAAGTTTTGATGTAGAAGAATACAATTGTAGCTTTGTATGAGTGCACAGCGATCATGATTATATGCTCATGGTGTTGTAACCTGTACATGTATATAATTATATGTATAATGAGATAGTATTACATCTCCATTGTTAAATTTATGGGTACCTTTGTTTACGATTGTAATTTTTATGATCTTTTTTAAACGTTTGCTATAATTGTAAGTGGAATGTCTTTTGAATGATGTCTGTATCTGTGGCTATGTGCCTTTGTTTGTATCCATCAATAACCTTACGATTACATATTATACTTGTTGTTGATTGTAAATGTATTTTATGCTACTTATACAATAGCTGTACGTTATTTACATTATTAGTACGTTATTCGTAATCGTCTGTACATTATTTGTGATTGATCGTTTAGATTTTATCTGGATAAAGCATCATAAAATTACATTGAAAGGAATTTTGTTTATTTTCATTGTCATCAAGAGCTCCCTTAACATATTCCCTTGATTTCAATTTGTCTATGTACACGAAGTTTATCATTGTTTAACGTGTACAGTGGGAAATGCATGACTGGTATAAGTAGACATTAGAGACAGTATCTCTCTGATGTTACAGAATATATTCCCTTCTTTCCAGCTGACTGTATATAGTCCATTTATCTTAATGAAAACAAATTTAACAACTGACATGTGAAATTTTATGTCTTGTTGCTGTGCGGGTTGTGATTTTATAGTTCTATGTAATTAATTAATTCTACAACCAGTACTCATAACAAACCATTAGAAGTAGTCTATTACAGAAAATAAGCCCAGCAGCTAACATCATTGATTAGAATATTATTTTTATATATAGGTTTTCTACAATCAACTTTCTTGATCTTACAATTAATCATTTTCTTACGTTTATTATTTAGGTCATTATGAATCTTATAGTGACTTTTATATTTGGATATATAACAGTATTTCTAGATTTATAACATTATTTAATAGATTCATAACTGTCTTCATTTTATAGATTAATAATTATATTTGCGGACTTGGTACCGTAGAATATTTTTTGTTTAATATTTAGGTCATTGAATCTTATAGTAACTTTTATACTTGGATACATAACAATATTACTAGATTTATAGAATTATCTAATAGATTTATAAACTTTTTTTTAGATTTATAACATCTTCTAATAGATTTATATAATATATATCATTAATCATTTTCTTACGTTTATTATTTAGGTCATTATGAATCTTATAGTGACTTTTATACAGTGGTGTAACCTATTTTCGTGGATATAAGGATTCAACACCGAATTTCGTCAAAGTTAAAAATAGATTTATAAACTTTTTTATAGATTTATAACATCATCTAATAGATTTATATAATATATATCCGGATTTGGTAGTAAGAACATTTCTTAGGTTTCATATTAAAGTCATTAATATTTAAGTAGGAATTTTGCATTAATGATGATGCCAATTCAATAGAATTATAACTGTTTTTCAAGATAGTAACATTTTTTATGATCGTTTTCAGATTTATGACAATATTTTTTACATTTATAACTTTATTTCTAGATTTATAACATTATAACATCTGTTTTTCTAGAATATTTAACTTACGTTGTTTATTATTATTATGTTATGAAGCTATACATGTACTTCTATTTATAACATAATATTATAGATAATACAAGAAGCAATTCGTAATTCTTGAACAAAAAAACTAATTTCGAGCTAGCGGTTGAAGTATGTTTCCAGAATATACAATGATTTAGAGAAAACGATAGACTTACTCTTCAGTATCAGAATAAAACCTTTTAATTTCTGTTTCTAACTAAATTAAGGTTAAGTAAAGACTAAATAAAAAGTAAACGTGAAGTCAGATCACGTATTATTTCTTTCTATACTTCCCTAAGTCTTTTAGGTCAATATAAGTCAGTAAAATCTGGGAGAAATCACGAAAAATGTTTCCAGAAATGATTGAAATTGATATTTCATGTCTCCATTCTTAAATAGTAAGCACTCTTGAATTATTGATAGAACAAAATATGTTATTAGTATAATAAAATATACAGTTTTACGAGGGGAAAATATTATGCTTATTTATGATTAAGGATCCAAAATCGGACAGAGTCGAACTAATTGAAAAAAGGTTACAATTTATTTTCTTTTTTTGTAATCTCACAATTTTTCTGTCGCAATCATGTTTCTGGATACTGATGGCGAATTGTTGGAAAGCTAAATTCATAGTGAAGCGATATGACATCCTCTGTGGGTTTTGCTATGCCTTAGTCTCATGAACGTCGCAAACATCATCTTTTAAATAGATATGTAATAGAAACCAGCGACGTATGGTGATGGGGAATTCGGGAATAGATTTGTAATTATGTGTAAAATGTTACTTATATTCGATTGAATAGATACGATTGCTTAGGTCCCAATGGACTGGATTTTCTTCCTCATAATCTAAGTAATGATTCAACAATGAGAGGTTTGACCAGCAGTTGGACCTATTTTATGATTGACTTGATATTGACCCGGCTGAACTCGCTCGTGTATATATGTAAGTTAATGGATTTTACTCTTCGAGAAATTCATGACTTCTGAATGTTCATAAACTATTCGAATGAGGTTTTGTTTGCCCTTATACGTCTTTAACGCCATTTCGAATTTAAAACACAAAAAAGACTATATTCATCATTTTTGCAAACATATACAAACCTAATGATGATGCTAATATAACCTGAATATTAATGCTAATATTTTTCTGAAATTTCAGGAAATTGAAATACATGTAAATGGAACCGTCTCTGATACACAGAGAAATTGTGATTTTCTGAATCACTTCAGTTGTGCTTTCTATTGTGTAATATTTGTGAAAAAACTAATAGTTTTACGTTATATAAGAAACCTAATTAAGATTACACTGTAAGAGATTTTATTCGTTAAAATGACACGCAGGGATACAGCTTTCTAGTTATTTACTTATATGACCTGTAAAATCCGTGTTTGATATTTCATTACGACATAAAGTTCTGAAAATTTGAATTTCATTTAAAAAGAAAGTCTTACAAGCACAAAACTTTATCCAAACTATCGCAAGCCATATCATATAAAAGACCTTAACCTTTTTTTTTTTAAGTTCTTCATTATTTTAGATATTGCAATCTGGCCCCTGATCACAATACCATTACCGTGCGTTAATTTCATTAAGTAGTCATGGCTTTGAAATTTGCATTGGTTTTTGCTTTTTTTGTAGTACCATATTCAGCTAAATCAAATTTATGTTCTCAATACCAGACTGGTATGTTGGAGCACTGTGAAAGAGAGTCTGGAGTCTGTTCATGATGTAGTCTTGCTCAAAAATAGATGACATTTAACGTAGACACTCGACCTCTAAGCATAAAGTTAGTATTTGTTGAAGATAACATCATCTAAATGATATTTTGATTAGCTCAACTGTCGTCTTTACTTTCTCTTTATTTCAAACTTTTGCTTACTTATTGACAAATTGTCTTGATTATCATCAAGTACTTCGACAGTGTATTTTTTAGATTAGGTTATACGCTTCTGTCTTTCACTTTTCACCACCGATATCGTAATTTGACTTTAAGGGATTGTAAAGAGGTTTTTTTTATATACGTATTGGAGACACTGATAGCATCAATTAGCACCATTACAATTTTTTATCAGACGTATGCGGTTCCTGCAATTGCAATAAAACTAAGTTGTTTGCCGTCACTAATCGCAAAATATGATTGTATCAAATAAGCCCCTTTGTGATTGGTGACGACATCAAATACTTAGCATCCATTTGAACCATTCCAATTTACATTCAGATGTCTGTGATTCCTGCAATTCTATTAAAACTATCTCAGTGTTCTCGATACATATAAAATTTGTTAGAAAACCTCTTTACAATCCCTTTAAACAAAATTTACTGGAGAGAAGGCGATATCTAATAGATAAAAAGTGTAAATGTTTTTCTACTATTTGAAATGTATTCTCCGATGATTTAGCAAGGTGGAAGCCAAAGACGTCAATATTTATTGTGAAGTGTCATATCTCTTTCTACGATCCATTGAAAATGTTACAGCTTGCTTTAATAATATTCCCCTTTGAATTCGGGTGAGTGCATAATATTTGATATAGTAATTGGTATACTGAAGTGAACTGATCGAAATTTAAAAAAAAAGTTCAGCAAATATCGTAGCCTTGTGTTGAATTGGGTGGTTCGCGTCTGAAAATTGTGGAACTGTGATAATAAAATCCATTTGAAAATTCACACTTTGACTGTGTTTTCACCAAGTACTAAGATATATACGCCCACTGGCAGCTTTGATTTTAAATAAAAATATTTGGCAGTAAAGTAACAATCACCAGTATGAAATATTCAACCTTACAAACAATCATACCGAGTTTCGTCGAAATCAGTCAGGAATGGTGCTTTTTAGAGTGTTTACCAGCAATTGTGGACGGACGGACGGATGGAAATGGGTGACGGCAATATACGCCCCCCCCCCCTATTTCATGTAATTGAAAAGTGTTTAAGGGGGGGGGGGGGGGTGGCACTGTAATTCAAATTTGTCATTTGTTGCTTTTAAAAGTAGAAAACAAATTGTCAAAATGAATATGTCAAATAGTATTAAAACATATGTATCTATTTTTTCAGTAATAAAAAATAACATTTCAAATCCGGTTAAATATAGGTAACTATTTACACATAACTGAAGAAAAAGAATTGAATGCTTTGATCTGATGTAAAGATGAAAAGTAAGCTTAAGCTAGTCGTGAAATGAGAATTGAAACTTTTTAGCTTTGAAAATTGCGAAACTTGATCACTCATTATACCATAAACATGAAATGAAAAAATAGGTAGAAAAGCTGACTTAATGAGAAGATTTTTTTTCTCGTGTCTATCTTGGGAATTGGTAATTATGTCTGATGAAATTATTTCGTGTAGTTCAGATTTATAATTTTTGTGCTGTAAATCATGGCGAAAGTTGCCTGTGTGTCAAGCTTTGTTATCTAAAATAACATAATTTATGTTCCTAATGACTGAATCAGTGAAAATAATATTAAAATCATAACAATTAAAATTGTTCCACTGTGCGTTTCCTTCTTCCTTCTATTTTCCAGTTTATGAAATTGTTTGTGATATATATTGATAGAATTACAGACATAATGCCCTGAACTATGAGACATAGTAATGTATTTCATGTAACAGAATTCAGATTCCCTTTTAGATATATGTACTTCTAAATGTGTATTTTTATTGTAGTGTGTATATTGTGTATGACTGTATTTGATAATACACTAGATTTTGGTTTTCTATACAATCAAATTAGCTGGTATAAGAGAATAAAACGGCATGGTCAGGACATTTACGCATTTTCGATTTTCAAAATTTAATCATAGGTATCTATTATATTCTAGCTTATACAAGAGAAGCAGTAGGCGGTACAGTTGGTGGTATATTGTTAATATCTATTGTGATATGTTACCTCATCTACAGGTACGAACTTTTTGTCTTTACGGGGAGCAGGGGGCGGGTGGGTAGTATTGGATTCTGAGGTGAATTCATACCATGTGATTATTTTCATTTCGAACAGTGGTCGTCCAGGAGGATTTAGTAACCGAAACGTGTAGGCATCACGGGACGAGCTTGACATTCTTAATCTGTGATAATTCTATTTTCAGAAATTGGAGATATGAACAAGAATTAGCCAGCTTGTTATGGAAAATTGATTACAAAGATCTGAGTTTAGGTGATCACTATTCACAAACTTTCCATGGAGGTCGCATAAAGGTAGGTCTATAAGATCATTAATTTATCTGATATCACCAGCTGGTGTTTCTATTTTGATAACAGATATCTTCATTCAGTTACAAATCATATCAGCTGATCTTCAAATTCAAATTTTAAAGGAATATTTAGGACCTGAAATCTATGAACACTTAAATTATATATTTTATCTACTAAATTAAAATTAAATTCAATTTTTATTTTAAATGGGACTTAAGTCGATAGGCGATCTAAAACGTCTCCTCTTATGTTTTGCTGTTTTAGTCGTCGACGCCCTCAGTGATCCCACATGTTCTCTATTACTGGCAACTGTCAAGGGGAAATGTCAACGTAAGGCAAGAACCTCTCCCCCCCTCTCTCTGAAAGCTTGCAATAAATTTCAATAAAAATTTATGAACTCCTACACATTCCATTACCCTTTGGATTTGAAAACGTTTGTACTCGTGCCATATTTTAAGTAGAAATTTCTTGCTTATTACTGTATTTCCGGTCCTAGAATTTCTCATGTTTCCATCGGATATAACTGCATCGAACATTCTTCTGAAAATCAGCTGAAAGTAAACGTTCTTCTGTAAAGGAAATCGAACCACATTCGCCTCCATGTTACTTCATAAAGTTTATAGGAAATTACTTAATCTATCCACTCTTTAGAATTTTCTGAAATGAACGCCGTGGTTGGTCATTTTAGTTCAAGTAGAAAGAGATTTCATTCATATAATGTGGAAAGTAACATGCTGTTTTGTTGAATAACAAAATTGAATCTAAAAGTACACGCTTTCAGTCTTTCATTGTATAAATATTTGCGATGACACAAAATAAAAATATTCGTTAAGATCTATTTATGGAGTTACCATTAGAAAAAATTTGGAATCAATTTTGACGCGATGTGGAAAAGTCACTGAAGAAGTTCACATTGAAATTGGAAAAATATAACGATAACGCAATCTCTTTAAATTATGTACAAAAAAGTACCATGTTAAGTATAATCAATATTTCGTTCACACGGAAGTATGAAAATTAATTTAAGCTCAACAACGGATTGCATTAAAATTGCTTTCTTGATCTGATTGCTATCAGTTTTTAACCTACGTAATTTTTTATCACCACTATTGCTCTATGTCCAAGTTCAAATCCTCATGTTTAAAGACATTGATATATTTTAACAGTCAAACTATTCACAATCAACGCCATAATGTCTTTCAAGTTCAACTTCAAAATCATCAAAATAATTAGAACTGATTATTAGAAATCATCAGATTCTACTGTGGTAGCTGACACTGTGACCTAAAGTGTACCTATAAAAGTGCAATGTGTTGAAATATTGACATTACCAACAACCAATCGTCTCTGTGATCTTCAGCCGAGTTTGGAGGGGATATTCAACTAGGCCTGGTCTATAGTTTATATTATAAATATTGATATGGTTATCATTTTATCCCATAAAAGTGCATGGTGTTGACATATTGAAACTATCACCCATAAACAACTGAACTATTGAAGACAAAGCCTTATTCAAATCAAATTGACGGCATAAAAAATACATTAATTCTAAATCTCGACATTCGCTTAATTTGATAAGGGATTTCTAAACTAAATTATATCAGATTACTCGTCGTAATTTGACCATGTAACAATACAGTCACACTAACATGCCTTCGAGGTTCTGAGAAATTGCAAACACATGAAAGCGTCTTTCTTTTTAATCACAGGGGAAAAAACTATGTTGTAATAAAGTCGTGTATAAGCAATATTGATCTAATCATGGATTGTCAACAGTGCAATTGTAACTTCAAACAAAACGCATTTTGCCTTACTGAACTTAGATTTGCTTCGAAGATCTGGTTGACTGGAAACCTATTGATCTAAGATTCTGCTTGTTGCAAAGCCGACATGGGCTCCTCAATATCTGGCAACTGTGTAACTAACTATAATATCGGTATGAACTACTAGAATTGTCATTGGCGTGGCGTTATTGAGCAATGACTGTTTCATTTTTCAAATGGTATAGCAACAATTTCGACATTTCATCATAAGCAGTAAAATACTTAACTACCATTTCAAATACGATATTACAACCTTCCGACAATTCGCCATAAGCAGTATAGATTTTTACTACCATAGAATTGAATATTGAATGACATAGTATTTATAAAGTAGATAAAGGAAGTAAGATTAGATTTGAGAATGTTGACTGACTAAGAAGTCACTATGTAACATCTCTAAGTTATTTACATGAAGTTTCTCGCACCCTGACATAACAGCTTACACCATCACCAAGAAGTCGGTAAGAGGCTTTAGGAAATAATGAAGTGACTGAAGTCGTTTCTAAACTTGGCTGAATATATATTGATAGTAGATTAATTCTGTATCAAAAGATCTCTATTCCTTATGTGATCAAAATGAATTACAAACCAACGTGTTTTGTGGCAATACGAAAATCGAAAAGACTAGTATTGTCTAGAGTAATTAGACTTGCAATCACTCAAAAAACTCGGTGCTTCTAAAGCCACCTTGGTTTCTGAGTAACTAGTGGTAATTGAATGGAGATAGCAAATCATATTAATATGGTCCTGGAAAAGTGATTAAGTCTAAACATAGTAAATGTACTGAATAATTTACTGTTATTCTGTCAATAAGTACTTACTTTTAAAAGCAGAGATATAACCTGCATTGATTTCTGTATAACCTACATTGATTTGTTTTATGTAACCTACATTGATTTGATCTTTCATATTCATATTTTTTTCATAAAAAATAACATAACTGTTCTATTTAAATCTCTAAATCTCGTATATAGGTTTGTTTGATCGTGTAATTTTCTTAATGTATTGGTGGAGGTCATTACATAATGTCTAGCATCAACCGAGATATTAAATACATTCTAATAATACACGTAGTTTCCACTATATATATAATAAAACTGCATGTCTGTGCATTTCCTACCGTATGAAACAAATATCCTATCGTATAAAACCTATATCATACAATATAAAACCAATATCCTACTGTATAAAAAGCAATATCATATTCTATAAAATCTATATCATATCAAAACCAATGTATGAAAGCGATATTATATCGTCTAAAACTCACCCTAAACTTTAAAACCGATATCCTTTCGTATAAAACCTGCCTCATAAACTATAAAACCGATATTCTATATTATAAAAGCTGTCTACTAAGCTATTAAACCGATACCCCATATTATGAATGTTGTCTCCTTAGCTATAAAACCGATACCCTATATTATAAAAGCTGTCTACTTAACTATAAAACCGATACCCTATATTATAAAAGCTGTATCCTTAACTTTAAAACAGATACCCTATGTTATAAAAGCTGTCTACTAAACTATAAAACCGATACCCTATATTATGAAAGCTGTCTCCTTAACTATAAAACCGCTGCCCTATATTATGAAAGCTGTCTCCTTAACTATAAAACCGATACCCTATATTATAAAACATGTCTCCTAAATTATAAAACCGATATACTATCGTCCATACCTCCTAAACTATAAATCCCTTCTACCGTATTAAACTGAAGCCAAAGTCGTAATGGCTAGACAAGAAAACATTTTAATTAAGTTAGTAGATTAAATAAAAAAATTCTGGGTGAACGACAGCCTTGTCTTCGAAGAACTACTTAGAGACCCATTCGCTCTCATAAAGAAAAAAACTTTCAAGCTATGCCTGTAAATAAGTACACAGAGAAGCCAAAAAATAAAATTCTGGAAAGGTTGGCATAAAGAAAAAGAAAAACTATCAAATTTTCTATAATTAGTTCTTGAGACATCAGCAAGAGAGTAAAAAAAAAGATATTTCTTACATTTCGAATGTTAAACTGTAGAATTTAATAACCACTTGAAGATTCCATTTTGTCTACATTGAACGTGGGCATTCAATGAACATTAGATTCCATACAGACACACAACACTCTCAAAAATACGAGCGTTGATGTTTGATGTAATTTGATCTAATCATGAATTTTTCAATTTAATATAATTGTATCTATTCTACTGTGACATAACGATGATTGAACAGACATTTTACGAGGTTAGAGGCATATTACTGTTTTTTATCTTTCGTATAGATATCAATGACGAAGCTTACTATCATCTCAGGATAACCTAACTTCCAAACCTTCATAACAGCAACTTTATCAATCAGCGCTTACTATGTAATGTAGTATATGCAAGTCCCTTCTGTTAAGATAGTCTCACTAAATAACAATCTTATCAATCAAACCTTAATGTTTACTGTCTTGTCTGTTAGCTAAACCGCTTCCAAAACCCTACTTGATAACACTCTTGTATTTCATGTATATTTCGTATACTTTTGCGGTCTCAACTCCGGATAACCTCACTTCCAAACCTTGTTTGATAACAACCTTACTTTTACCATCTCATCCACATATCCATGCCTTACTTGTTAACAAGCTTGACATTCAAAGCATACAATTACGGTCTCATTTCAAGATGTCCAAACCTTACTAGATAAAACCTTGTCATTTAAAGCTTACTTTTACGGTCACATCTCAGAACATCAGGATAACCTCACTTCCAAACTTTGCTTGATAATAACCTTATCATTCAAAGCTTACTTTCTGCCTCATGTCATGAGAACATTATTACAACCTTAATGTTTGCTGTTGACTGTTTTATCTCCGGATGTCTTAACTAACGCACCGATATTCAAACGTCAATGTTCTTTGATAAGTTGATGTTTATGAGTTTGGTAAATAGTGTTCCCCTGAAGTAAAATGTTACAAAAATTCAGATGTACTTTTATATCCACCTAAATGTATTAACTTAAGTTTGTTACGGAAAGAAAACTATAGGTATGGTTAAAAACTAAAGTGGGAACAGTAAAGTCTACTGTGCTATACAAAGACTTCCTCGAAACCATATTCGATTTCATTATACAAAATTCTATTTCAGAACAAGAAAGTAAGACAAAAAATTCGATTTCATTGATTCATTCATTTTTGTAATTAATATTAAATTGATTATTTGCAGCCGAATGGTCTATGTAAATCTGGAAGTCAAATCTCGCTGATATCCCAAGTTGATGTTGACTTACGACAACTGTTTACTCATGTTGGAACATATCGAGGTACCATCGTAGCAATACGGATTGTGAATAAGAAGCATGTAGAATTAACCAGAAATGTGAGAAAAGAATTAAAAATTGTAAGTAGATTATGAAATTGATTGACATTTCTCTAATGCATTTACCTTGCAACGTTATTAAAGCTGGTATTAAGTTTCAAAAAAAAAAGATCTGAAGACTAAATCCGATAAATATATTCCCTTGACATGAAAGCAAAGCAGCCCAACTCATCTGACAGTACTAATGTCAACGAAGGAATATTGTTTGTTGAACTTCATGAAAACGATTCTCTGAAGTCACAAAATTATTTAATGCAATGACGTTTGGTGTGATGTGGTTAATAAAAAGGAAAAACCTTTTAAGGCAATACTAAAGTGCAAGTTTTAAGAAATTGTCATTCGAAATCGACAAGCAGGGAAGATACTTTACCCTTTATATGGTCATGATAGCTTTAATGTGTAGTCCCGAGATGAGAAAATTACATACTTACGACATTGCTCCAGGACAAAGCTTTTCTAGAACTCATCTGACCAATTGTTATCGGATCTATAATAACAAGTGTTTGGTGTTGGTGGTTTGTAAATTTCTGTGTCAATAAGATTAAGATCGATACCACAATTCCAGACAGTCTATTCAGATTGAAGCTAATGTTTTCTTATGAATCCTCTGATAGAATTCATTGCCTTAAGCTGTTTGAAAGAGAAAGAGGTGTATAATTCATGATTTCCTATTTTCGAAACATCATGCTTTGAATATTTTAAAATATTCTTATTTGTTAGCACGTCAAAACGTTTCCAGATTTATTATTATTTCAGTTATTTCTTGTTCTTCCATTCACGAGCTAATCGTTTTAAAAGAAGCAAAATATAATAAAGATTCAAAAAGCAAAGCTTTAAAGTTGGAAGTTTTTTTTCTGTTTTCTATATCAATTTGAAAATATCTGAAATTATTATTATCTTCGCTAAGAAAAATATCGTTTATCATATCAATTTTTACAAATTACTGTTTTCAATGTCATTTTGCCATTAATAATAAAAGAAATGTGCCTGCATGTCATGGCGCCAGATGTTTTCGAGAATTTAATCACTAATATTCTGCCATATTATTTTTTTCAGATGCGTGAATTACGACATGATAACATAATACCATTTATTGGAGCGTGTATAGATGCACCTAATATAGGTTTATTGGTGATAACTCAGTATTGTGGTAAAGGAAGTTTACAGGTAGGTTTGTAGGTTTTAATCATTGGTACCATGTAAAAACATACCTAATATAGGTTCATTAGTGAAAACTAACTGGGTAGGTTTGATTGGTGATAACCCAGTATTATGGTTGAAGGAGGTTTGCTTGTTGCTCTTGACGCACTATTTTTGTAAAAGCAGTTTATAGATAGGTTTTTACCATTCGGAACGTGTAAAGACTAACAAAAACTTATCTGATATAGGTTTATTGGTGATGGTGTGATAAGGTAATTTACAAGTAGGTTTTTGCCGCTTTTTTGCAAGTTGGATTTGGATATACAGTATACACGTCTTGGGTTATTTATCCATTGAGGATTATAGGTAATACATCGAGGATTAAATTTATAAACATGGCCAATATAGGTTTATCTGTTAAAGACTTATCCCATTTGTGCTGTCAGATGAAATAGTTCTTTTTCCTTGTGAATGGCTTACAGTGAAGCACACACTAATTAAACTTGATTCTGATAATCGCAACTGTAGCACGACCTATACAAAAAATGACAACATAGCCTGTTGGAAATCTAATTGACACAATATACAAATTTGTTCTTGTGGCGATTGCAAAACCTAATTGATAGTTAAACCATATTTTCTGTTCTGTAAACTGTTGAAAAAAATGTCAGTTGCTTGGGTGTATGTCACCAAAGACTTAAAACGCTTTCGTTGCGACAACATTATCTTCGGATTAATCGCTTTATAGGCTAATCGTATCCAAGGATCTTACGTCTTTTAAGAATTTGAAAAAAATTAGGAAGCCTTAGTTTTTCTGAATCTCATACATTTAACCTATTACAAATAGCCTGCGGACAATATTGTCATTAGATAATTTCACACGTCAACGAATAAATCATTTCAAGTTATTGCACGTTAAGCCATGTGTAAAGCTCGATATTTTTTATGTATTCTTGGCAAGCAGGAAAATAGGAAATTTATTGCTCTTATTTTTACTTACAGTTTCATAATGAGTGTTTCCATGTCAGAGAACCTTTGAATTATTGATTAAGGTAGAAGAATTTCAAAGTATGCAAGTTATCTGTGTAAAACCCAGGCATTCCTTTAAATTTGGTTCAATATTTTCCACTTGACGTGTCGGCAACCTTGTGGCTTAGTTGTTTGAGATTACAAAGAGAGGTCTACAGACCCAAACATGGATTTAATTTAATGCGACGACATTATCATATTAATTTATAATTGAAAGACGCCCCCGCCTTATCATAGAAACTTATATTGGCAAGACGTATTAACGTATATTGAAATACGCCTTTTCGTGTGTTATAAAAACTTATATTGGAAAGCCCCCCCCCCCCCCCCCCTTTATAAAATTAACTTATATTGGCAAGACGCCCCTGTCTTATCATCTTAATTTACATTGGCAAGACGCTCCAGACTTACCATATTAACCAATATTGGCAAGACACTCCCGTTTGTTATATTAACTTACCATGGCAAGGCGCCTCGCTTTATCATAATTTATTAACTTACCTTGGCAAGACGCCTCGCTTTATCATATTAACGTACCTTGGCAAGACTCTCCAGACTTATCATTATCATATTGACTTACATTAGCAAGACATACCCGCCTTATCATATAAACTGAACATTGGCAAGACATTCCTGCCTTATTATATAAACTTCCATTGGTAAGACATACCCTCCTTATCATATTGACTTACGTTGGCAAGACATACCCGCATTATCATATAAACTAAACATTGGCAAGTCTTAATAACAGAAAGACACCTCCACCGTTTCAAATTGCAGGACGCCCCCACCGTTTGACATCATCTTAATGCGCAAGACACCCCCTGCTTATCATATAAGCATGGACACGCTGCTCCTGCGTATTATATTAATTTGCATTGGCAAGTCTCGCCGCCTTACCATAAACTTACATATAAACCTGCATTAACAAGGAAAAGATGCTTCCCTCCTTCTAAATTGGCTATCCAACTAAGGGCCACAAACCTACAAAATAGATTATAAGTAAGTGATTTTAGCATCGCAGTACAATATTCTTACATATCATTAGGCGTTAAAGATATTTCACTTTCATAGTTCCAGAGACAGTATTATATATAACATAAATTGACTGAAATTCTGTTTTTTTTCAGGATATCTTAGAGAATGAAGATTTACAACTAGATTCTATGTTTATAGCCTCACTGGTATTTGATATTATTAGGGTAGGTATAGTACATTTCGTCCCTTGCTGTACACTTGAGAAATAACAATAGCAAAACCATGTCGCAATTTTAAAATCATTATGAGTGCATGTTTTAATAACCCTTAGGAATTCTATTTCATGGATGTTTTAATTGCCATGAATTTCCAAATTCTTTAAGATCCTTTCCCAATCTTGAATCATAGCCGGAAATTTATCATTCTACGTATACAAAGTGTTGGGCTTTTAGTCTAAATATGCTGCACCAATACCTTCGGTCAATTTTCTTGATCATGCCATTTTTGTCGTTTTGATGGACAGAATCTCTCAAATCACCAAGGTATATCATGTTAGTCATAAAGTAGAACAGTTTACAATGATAATAAAATATTTGAGATGTCTGCTAGCTGTCTGAATATATCTTTCTATGATCTTTCCAGGGAATGCTCTATCTACATAATAGTGAAATCAAATCCCATGGTAAATTGAAATCGTCTAATTGTGTTGTGGATAGTAGATGGGTTTGTAAAATAGCAGATTTTGGTTTACACGAATTTTTATCTGGGCAAGAGGAAGATTTGGGTGAATATGCTAAATATAGAAGTAAGTAATTTCAAACTTATTCTTTCAACTATTGATGTCATCGATTTGACATTGATCTTATTGTGTCAGATTTCCATTAAATGTGAGAAGATTTCTCTGAAATTACAAGCGACTAGAATTCCACACAAGAATTAGACAAAGCTGAGATTGTTAAGGTCATCTGATTGGTTCAGTAATATTTAGAAGGACAACTAACGCAACTTAATTATTCTGAGATTAAGACGTAAAAAGGATTCAAATAAAAAAAATCCTATTGAGCCTGTACGGTTTTGGAGACAACCAACAAGTACCTGATCAAACCAACAAACAGTAATCACATATGCATCAGTCCAATTAATATCCATCTTGCTTCATTCAAATAGAATAGATAAAGCTAGATGTTTGTGAAATGAGTTTATTCTTTATGTCCAGTACATTGACCATCATACCATTCAGTTCGGATTGAGGGTTCGAACCCAAGGGCTCGGTCCGAGGGAACTTACATAATTATGTTTTTAAGAATATGGTACAGGAAGGATGCAGGCCAGGAACAAGCCGATAGACCATTCTCACTATCAAATTGGGTTCCTCAGCAACAAATTGGTCCAATGTCCCATGATTGCTCAGCCTGCCCCCGATACCATTTACAATCAGAGAATGGAAGACTAATGAATGAATGTAACAGTTTGCACACAAACGTCTAAACCAACAACTTATTACAGTTATACAAAGTACATTGAGAATTTGATTCGATAATGATTCACTTACCAGTTTTGTCGTTTATTGGATGAACAAGTCTGATTGATGGTCTATCATAGCTCAAGTCTAATCGTACTGTCTTCAGCCACTATGGCAATCTCAGAAGTATTAGTAAATGCCGTGTTAAGAATGCTAACTTGTTTGTAGATGTTTTTCCAATCATTAACCGATCAGGTCCGCCTACAATTCTTACAAATTAAGGCTGTTTTACAATTTAATTGTGTGAAACCATGGTCTGAAGTAAATTAAACAGTTTGAAAGAAGACTGCAGAGTTAAAACATATGAAATATTTTAGACTGATAAAATGATCTTAGCTTCTTCTATCAGCTGGTCTTTGACCGACACTTAAATAATTATCCATACCTATTTACGACTTGATGGACGGGAATAATGATAATTGAATTATGATTCAGACTTACACCTACGTACCGAAATTACATGAGTCTGAAATCATTTCAAAACTGCAAAGACAAATACCGTTTAATATCTAGCTTAACTAGATTTATCGTTTACAGAAAGGACAAGGACAAAGGAAACATGAGATAGAATTTCGAAATCTATTTTCTCCATTATCACATAAATTTTAAAACTATAGGAATCCCCCTTCTTAACTAGCTATCAAAATTCGAATTCGGTTTGTCAGTAGGAAGTGTGGAATATAAAAAGGAATTAACATAAACATGATGGGTTTAGATTGAGCCGACATAAGATTACTTGGAAGGACGTCAAGAGGTTCAGAAGTGAACTTTTAAATACGCATTTGGTCGTCTAGAAAAAACACGTGTCTTCATACCATCAAATAAGTTGAATCAAAGCTTTTTTTATCTCACAAGGTGGCTGAATGATGTCAGTTTTTCTTTCTGAATTGTGATTTACAGGGGTACCGCAAATCAACGCCCGATACATAAGCAATAAACATTCTCTTGTTATACTATGTTGTGAACTTCCTTGACCTTAAAGAGATTGGACAATCCTGACTTAACAATACAAGTCTTTATTCCAGTACATAATTATATGTACTTGTTACTAGAACTGTTCGAGAGTATTAGTAGATATCGTGCGGAGAATAATAATTAATTGCTAAGCCTTTTCACAGTCTCCTTATCAATTAACATTTGTAATTATGGTTCCAATTTTCATCAGTACTTGTAATGCAACTTCCCGGTGCAGTCTCTAAGTCCAAGTCTTACGTGCTACTAATCTGCTCGTTTTTAGACGTACATTGGTACACAGGATGAACATTTTGAAAGAAAATTGGCAGCATCAGCGTATAATAATATGACCTTTGTTCATTGTCCTATCGACTTTTATGTCAATCCCCTTTCTTGAATCAATTGCGGGCGAAAAATTGTCAAAAAAAACGAAGGGATAATCCTGGCGTCTGTGCACATAAACACATATAGGCTGTATTGGAAAAAGAGTGGAACAGTATACCAAATAACACCTATCAAAGCTACGAGCATTCCTGTTTCTGAGACTAAACAGATGGCAAATCTGGCCCTTTAAGCATGCAACTTTGCCATTGGTTGATGAATTTATATCTTCTTTAGAGTCTTGATTGACATGCCAAACATTCTTTCTTGCAACCACTTGGGATTATATTAATCGAGTTTCATTTTTAGACATCTGAATTCTTTACAGATTCAATTAGATTAAGGAATTGTTTATAATTAGAAATCTGTAGAGGATTCAGTGAAAATAGGTCAGGTTTCGAAGAAGAGATTTGAAGTTCCAGACTTTCAGAAAAATGAATACTGACTAATTGTAATATCTTAAGCATGGAAACCACAATTATGAGTTAGCATGTCTCAAATGAATTAAAATATATATGGTTGTATTGAGATGTATGAATTTAGATAAAAAAAAATAGATTGATAGTACCTTTTAGTTTTAAACAAAGCTCTGATATATGTGTTGGGCCCGATTCTGGATTTGGTTGGCGGTGTTTGTTGCTGTTCGCTATACTTTTGCAATCAGTCATAACAATTCAAACATCTTCGAACTTCTTTCAAGCTTGTAATTCAAAAAGACAAAAAGTAAAAATGAAATGAAATGAATGGAGTTTTACGCCCTACTTTTCTGCACCAAGTGGGCTAATGAAGACGAGTAAAAATATCAAAGCATGATTATTTAATTTCCAGAGAACATTGCCATTACAAAATATTCCAAGGGCATTTAGAAACAAGCCCGTGCTTTTGCTACTTCATGTGGACTTGGTTTTACTATAATAATGGAGTATAAATGACCAACGTGACTAAGTCTGACTCGAGATTTTAACATAAAAGGAGACAAAAGGCTTATTGTCATATATTGCAGATTTGCTAATTTGCTATTTCAGATTTACTATGGAGAGCACCTGAATTATTACGAGATAAGAACATGCCTGCTAGAGGAACTCAAGAAGGTGATGTGTATTCGTTTGGTATCATAATGTTTGAAATACAAGGTAGAATGGGTCCATTTGGTAACATAGATCTATCTCCGAAAGGTTAGTAGCTTTTAATAGGTTCTAATGCGGCTTTTTTACTGAAACATCATAAAAATTCTCTCGACATAGTTTTTTTTACCTTGAAATCAGATGTGTTAGATAAGGAATCACTGTTTTTTAGATGTTTTCCAGTCATCGAGTACTTTACATATTCATGTCAAACATCTAACCACTTTTAACCAACAGTTGTTAGATACATGTCCAAAAGGAACATTATTTCAAAATGCCGTGCATTTTTTGCTGATTTAAACTACTCATAGCCGTTTTAGGGCACAGGTTTTATTGGAATTATCAAAAGCTTCATTGAACTAAAAAATGAAGTTTAATTAACCAAATTATATTTTTCTGCTCAATTCGCTAAAAACGCGGAAATCACGTAGTTCCAAAATCTTATCAAATGATTTTCAAATAAGTTTTCAGAAACCAGAATTTACTTTTAGAATTAATTAAAGTGTCCAGCTTTTTCGACTCGTAAATTTATTTCGACATTTACAACCATACCAGAACTCACCTTACTGTCATTCATGCTAGCTTGTTAGAATCTGGTGACTTTCTAACAAAGAAAAAACTCGTTAAATCAACAAGTAGATGGTATATCACTAAGATAATGTGAAATTATTGGATGGAGAAAGGTCATTTATTTTTATAACTTTGCCACAAGGGCAATACAAAAGCGAATTATGCCATCAAGGAAGTAAGAACCAAATGAAATGACCTGATCATGGAAGTTTACTTCCTGCTTTTCCTTTTTTCTGCATAGTAACCTTTAAATTCAAATCTTGTTGTTTACTGTCTGGATTAAGGAAATCTTTACTACTTACAATCCTTTAGCCCATAATCTACAAAAGTGCACAAAATATATCAGATGGTATTTCGGTTTATTTAGGAAGTACATAATAAGAGTACAGAGGTTTTGTATTACGCGAAAGTTAAAGGAAAAAATAGCAATCGAGTGACCTTAGTCTGATCTCAATTTTGATGCGATGTATTGAAACATTTAAAGGGACAATCCGATTTTTTTTTAAATAAAGGGTGGGAATGTATTTCGGGTTTCATTTTGCGGTTCTAATATAAATTTAGTTACTACTTGGTTTATACTTGAAGCATTGCCCCAAATAACGAAAACTATAAATTAAACTCAAAAGCAATGTGGTCCTCACATTATCTGAAAGTTTTAACTAAAATGTATATTGCATGTTGTTATTTTTCGAACGACAAACTATTTACAAGTTTACTTCTCGCTATTATTTTGGTTGGTGTTGGTAAACAAATGTGCGGATTTAAACTAAATAAACGCCAAATTCCAGCTTCAATCTAAAATTAATTGGATGCCTCGTATGATGTAGAAATATTAACTGCTTAAAACTGAGATGTACAGGATGGTCCTAGATTACTTCAATTTAAGTTTTCCCAGTTTTCGTAGAATACGAGTAACTGTTGTCGTCGGTGTGCTGCGGGTACTAAATCCGGCAACTGATCAGATTATCCCCCTGAAGACCTTTCATGTTAAAAACATCTAAACAGCTAGATATATTATTACAATAACCAATAGTTGACCAACTAATAGACATTTCTAAGAGTAACAACATTCTTCCTGAACATGAATCGGCATCTATTCAAACTCAAACCTTCACTCAGTACTTCAACGACAAGATCTCGAAAATAAGACCTGGCATAACATCACAACAGAGCCCACTGGTACGTACATCGACTTACAAAATGCCATCATCTTCCACCTTTTCCACATTTCAACCAAAAGATGAATTGACTATTATCATCAACCAAACCATAACCAAATCTTGTGAACTTGATCCATTACATGGCTTATTAAGGAGAATATTGATATTTTCATCACTCCAATTCTGCATATTGTAAATGCATCCTTAAAGACATCCTTACCTGATGAACTTAAAGAAGCAATCATAAGACCATTGCTTAAAAAACAACTTTAGATCCCATTTCACAGCACATAAACAGCAATTATTAAGATTGTTGATGATATTTATCGGGAGATCAATAGACGACAATCAGTGATATTGGTCCTACTTGACTTGTCAGCCGCATTTGATACATTGGATACTGAAGTTTTGTTCATCAGTACCAAACAGCAGTTAAAAGGGTCTAACACAGTCATGTATGAATGTATAGCTGGAGAAATAATTGCAATATCACAGAAGGCAAAGAACATTGGAGTATATCTTGATTCAAACCTCACTTTTAAACCACAAATTTCAGCAGTTTCATCTTCATCCTTCCACCAAATTCACAAACTTCTAATACATGCCCTAGTAACTTTACCTTGATTACCATAATGGAATTCTGTATGGCCTTCCTGATTATCAAATTCAACAATTGCAACGTGTACCAAATGCCGCTGCCAGACTTTAAACTGGAACCAGGAATTATGAACATAAAACTCCAGTTCTGGAAAGTTTGCACTGGCTGCCTATTAAACATCTATGGAATCCTGTTACAAACATAATATAAAGCCTTGTGGTACAGCTCCATGTAACATAACATACTCGATTGACATTAATATACCATCTCGCTCTCTCTGGTCATCTTCTCAACCTTCTGTATCCCAGGCTATTCCTTAAAACAGTCAACACGTGAATTTAATCATACCAATTAAACGTTAACTATCCAAAACTGTGGAATTCTTTAAGAAAATCTTAAACTTGTTTAATGATTATTATGGAAAAAGATTACTCTCATAACTTTGGCAGCACATTAGGATCCTCGGTATTCGTGCGCTTTAGAAATTCGGATGTAATGTTTAAACGAAACAGTGTTATAGATAATTTTCCAACATTACATAATCTTTATTGAATTGTAATACATAAAAAAGCTTTGACATTTTCAATTTTTAACGAAATAAAGTCGAATGTGAAATTCTTTTTTTTTATTTCTGAACAGAACGTAGATTGATTTGGAGGTAATTTTTGCAAAAAAACACATTTTCATCAATAAAATACTGGAATTAGAAAGTTTTATGGCCGTTATAAAAAGTCAAATGTATTAGAAATTGTAATTTATTGTTAACATTAAAATCCTCAAAAGAAATTTGCAATACGGTTACTTTAAATTAATTGTTCCGTCCTAATGAGTTTCCTTTTGTTATTTGTTTTAAGTATTGTTAAAAATCGCCTGCATCATTTTATGTGTTTGATAGTAATGGATCGCACTTGCGAATAGTTCCAAAGCTTCCAAACGGCTATTTAAATATATTCACAGCGACGTTCAAAAACTTAATTAAATAAATCAACGTTAATGAAGTATATAAAAAAATAAACGTTTATATTATCACACGTTCACAAGTATTACATATTTCTATCGTGTTTCATTTCAGCAGATAAACCACGCAAGGAACAAAATATTGATAAATATTCATAATGTCACGTGATTGTAAAACCGGCCAATCAGCTCACTTTGATAACTGTCTGTTTTTTGTAAATAAGAGCACATGATATTCGTGACTCTCTTATAAACCTATGTTGGATTGTTTAACATAACTTGTATCAGAGGTGTTGATAAAGTGAACCACGGTACCATATACTTATTAATACAGGATCTGGTTTAAACAAAGATGATCAGGTGTGTATTTCACATTGCAAGTGCAAGATAGTGAATACCACTTTTTAAATTTACAAGCCTATTTTCTATTTTCTAGATATTGTACAACGAGTAAAGAATACAAGAGAAGATTTGCCATTCCGACCACGACTCTCAGAATTAAGTTCCACACCAAAATTCATCACTGACGTCATTAAAGAATGCTGGGATGAAGATCAAACAAAAAGACCAGATTTTACGGAGATTAAATCGAAACTGAAACCCATGCAGAAAGGAATGTGAGTGTAGAATAATATACTATAAAATACTAGAATTTCGCAATCGATAACATTACAGATTTCGAAGGTTATTTTTTTCTAAAACTTTACATGCTAGTCAATATAGATGAATCTGTTACATTTATTTAAAAGGATATAAAGTGTCTTTTCCTTGCATTTTGATATGATCCAATCAATAAAATCAGTCATCATTAACAGTTTTATCTAGGCAAAACCAAATGAAAAACGTACTGTATTTGATAGACAATATATTTGATACTCTATATTGAAAATTGTGCATTTGGTTCAAGTCTCAAAACATGCACACAATTAAAATCATTCTATTGTATTTGGCATTTATTGGGGAAAGAATTTTTCAGCAACTGATCCTTCATTATTTCCTGTTAACATTTCAGTCTTAAACGTCACCCCAGGTAGTTCTGCTAAGCGTTTATTCAAATAATAATATAATATAAAATGACATACCATATTGCACAAGTCTACATCAAATAGAGTAAAAAAAACAACAACAAAAGGATAAAAATCTTTAAGAATCTTAAAAATTGTTATCGGAATCAAAAATATATAAAAAAATTCTCAAGAGTGTAATTATCTGGGATTATTTTCCCTATTTACAATAACATAGATAATGTTGTCTGGGTTATATGGACTATAACTAACCGAAAATTCTAATAATTGGTTCGAAATCAAAATAACAGTATTTTTGAATTTATTTTAATCTTTGAGAATAATTCTTGTGTAATGTTGAGCGCAATAAGTCAACTGTTTAAGCGAAATATATGAATTGCCTTCGTGCGTAGCTTAAGGTGCCATCATACTATATAAATAAAGTAACCATGAGGTTTGAACACAACACAGTTGCATGAGGGTTGCTTCGATACTTAAGACCGTTATTCTTCACATCCGTCAGAAATGGTGATCGCTATGGTGTGAGGGCCACTTCAGTCATATCAGAAATATGAAAGTGGTATCGAATCGCAATTTGAGAGTCAAAATAACAATTTTTGCGATCCAATATTTCCTTTGAAAGCGAAAATCTAAATTTAATACGACGACATGCAAATAAAGTCATATTGTAATTTTTTCATAGGAGTTTTTGCCTAATCTATTAATATTAGGCAAAGCTCGATTGTATCTAAAAGCTTAAAAATCCCTAGTAATCGTACACAATGATTATTATATTTTTTAGACGTCGTTGGCGAGATCGATCTACAACCAGAACACTTTGAATAGCTACCGAATTTGAATCAAAATTTTGAATTTAAATGGGAACGTCTTGTAAACGTTTTACTGCAAGGGAGGGAATTCTCTATGATTTTATTTGACCACTGAGGCTACTTATGTACTTTTTTTAATTCAATTTTACTCGTTGTTTTATGATAGTATCAAATCTGTTTAGATGTATGGAAGATGGCGACCAATAATAAGTCTTCGGAGTACAGTAATTCGAAGCATTGCACGGGTGCATGAAGTACCTCTCAATATAAGAGAACACCCATATTCTTTCATATTTCCTATCCCTCCATATCTGCCCTCTCCAAATTCTACCATATTGTTACATCTGACTCTATTCTAACCTAATCCTCTGTACAAACTAATCTACGTCTTCTCTACTCTTCCTCTCTTTAATCCGGAACCTACTATCCGTCATCCTTATTCTTTGTATCCTTCTACAACAACTACTTCCTACGCTTGTTTATTTCTCTTATCTCCCATTTCCAGTCTCACTTCTTACTTTCAAGTGCTTCACATTTACCGTCCACTCGGCTTTCGTCTTTTTTCACTATACCTTTTCTTTCTGATTATCGTTCAATTTTCTTCTAGCCCCTGTGCCACTCTCTTCTCTCCTCCCCTCTATCGATTTCTATATTATAATTATCTATAAACCCCGAAAAAAACTATAGACCGTTTACTTTAGAAATAGTATTTTTCCAATACGAGATTGATCTAGAGTCTACCTACAACCGGATCGTTTTAAACTGCAACCGAAATTTTATGAAATGTCAATCAAAGGTTAACCTGATCAGCCAATCAAATTATTCAATCTAATTTGAACCCTGATCACAATACCTGTTTAAGAACTATGATAGAAGCTTATCCAAAGTTCCATAGGAATAAACAGGGAATAAAGATATATCTACAGTAGCCAGGGAATTATTTGTTTGCGTGTGAAATCTAACTTTGTGTGATAATATTGTTAATTGTTTGAGGTCTACTGTGTATTGAACTTCAATTACAGTATTGTTTGTATAGCGACTTGATAGCTACTTGTTTTCTCATTTTTTTAGGTTACCAAATATATCAATATGAAATTAAGTTCAATTTCCTTTAAGTGCATCCTAGATTCATTGGCATATCACTTAATTCGTCTTCCATCTAACCTTTTGAATGTATCGATGTGAAAATCCGAAATTCATTTTCGAAATTTTACAGCATATTGCCTAGGCAGATACACCCATTTTTAATATATTTTCAATGGTTCATGGGTTTAAACTTCGTCAATATATATATAAGATCTGTTACCCAAATTTTAGCATGATCCTTGCCGCATTTACAGGTGTTTTAGTAATATTTATAGCCCAGTTTTCATTAGTTCATCGATTAACCGCATTTAAATCGGTTAACGAATGATAACGTGCTATAAATTACTTATAACATGATTGATAGGGGTCTGACAGATAGAGAAGTGGCCTTCGCCATTGTACGTGCATCAAATTCTGTATTTTAAAATATAAGCCAGTGTAGCTGATAGCTATTTGGACAGATGTTGGCTAGTGTAGTGACAGAAAAAATAGACCCTGTTAAATGGGAACTTTCAGCATCTCGCAGGCGCGGGGGTTTTAAAACCTATTTAAATACCTTGGATCTGCAAAACCCAGATATATTTAGAAAGCTGAATATTTTTGTAGTTCGATCATACCATCATTTTCTCCCTACACCATTTACGTCACGTCTTCAGTTTCGTCGATTTTTTTAAAACTGCGTGCGCAGCCAAAAGTTCAAAGGTAACAGAGTTACGTGATACTAACAAAATCAAAGTTACTGTGATGCTCAACATTAATTTACAGTCATCGTAAAAGTGATTTAATATAATGTTAGAAAAAACGCATCTTCGGAAACGTTTAAAATCCCCATATAACAGGACCTTTAGTTGTTGTAGCACGTGCTGAGGGTGGGGCTAATACATGATTGATGATCTGTTCAGACAACGGTAGTCTATACATTCACAGTGTAAATCGTGCTATAACTTCGATTTCAATGCCGCCCACCCGTTAATACAACGAAAAGATAAAAGGAAATTGATGATGTTATAAGTGCATCAAGGGCTACAAATACGTCAATAATTGCCAAACTAATTGAACTTGTTCGAGATTTTTGGGATATAATCCAACACCCAAACATTAACATTTAACTCTATCGCGTCTACATGAATCACATATTCCTCCGGTTCATGAATACATACCAGTTAATATTTCGACAAAGAAGAACGTCGATATTCTAAATCCATCGAAAATAGCTTCCAAAATAGGTATCCAAACTCCAACTAAACAATATCTATAAATTGTGTAGTTCAATGACCACGTCATCGCGACCCTTTGTAAACCACAAGTATCAATTTTTGCTGTTTTAAAACGTGTTTCAATCAATGATATCTATGAGGTTTCGAGTACATTCGGTTGATTTATGCATTGCAATAGAATAATATAATGTTTCATTGGGGAATAGGACTTTTGTTTAAGTTGAAAGCAAGCGTCTGTATTGGTTCAGTGTTAAAGCTTTTGGTGTAAGATTAGTCGATTTCCAATTGATTAGAAGAGATAAGTACAATTTGATCAATTCTATGGAGTTGATGGCGATGATGACATTCGTCTGGAAATTGTATTGGTGTTATTAGTTTCAATTAGATCTCATCGACAAAACTAATATCAAATAAGCAGTCACGAACTGGACTGCATTAAACTATCTACTTCCCGGGATAGACTATTAATTAATTCAAATTTTCAATATAAGTATTATTGTCTTATTCACGCTCGTGGAATTCAGTTTCTCTTTATAAATTGGTCAAATAATCGTTGAAGTATTCCAATGGTTTCTATCACAAAGGGAATAGTGGTTCAGAAAAGTGATTAAACTGAACTACATGTCTGGCATATCTTCCCTCGAGTCCGGATGCATGACCAATTTTAGTCACGATAATGGCAAACAACTATCTATTGCGTTTAATCTTAGAATGCTGTAAACAGCTCAATGGATTCGTTATTTGTGCATATGATTTACATAAATTAGAAGCATTACATTGCCCGGCATAAGGTGTTGGTAAATGGACAACTACTATTGCTTACAAGAACTAGGCTGATATTTGTGTATTTGTTTAAAACTGTCCTACCCTTTGTACAAGCAAACAAATAAGCATTACAACCATGTCAATTGCAAGTAACTTCTTTTAAACATGATAAATTCATAAGCCTCTGGTGTTTTGATTACAATTATTTACATGAACTTTAAAATTAATTAATCCATGGTTATCGGATACTGACAAATAATGTATTTGTATTATAGGAAAGCGAATATATTTGATAATATGTTAGCTATTATGGAGAAGTATGCTGATAGTCTAGAAGCACTGGTTGAAGATAGAACTGATCAACTGATACAAGAAAAGAAGAAAACAGAGGAACTTCTTCACCAAATGTTACCCAGGTACAAATTTAAAATTTGCAGATGCATCGTTAGCAAACAGTGATTACTCGGTTGATCATATCATCCAAACGACTAGAAGATTCTCCAAACCATCCCCTGACACGGGGGAACCCGTTAAACAGTTGAATGGAACTAGCTCGACATAATATGAGTTTGAGTTAATGCTTAATGTTAATAAAACTCTATATAACTTTTATCTAACGTTATGGAGGTATGGAAATGAATAATAGACATTCAAGTGAGTGTTATTTGAAGAACTTTCTAATCGCCACCTGCTTCGTATCACCCATATACATAAGACTGTTTTTTTTTCTTCAGTTCTGTAGCTGATCAGTTGATGACAGGAAAACAAGTAGAAGCAGAAGCTTTCGAATCGGTGACAATATATTTTAGTGATATCTGTGGTTTCACTGCCATGTCCTCTGAAAGTACACCAATGCAGGTTTGTTTATTTTGTTTCGCAATTTCATATGATATTTCCAAAGCTATGTAAAACTGTTCTTAAAATTGCTGCTCTACTTAAGTGTCAGATCGCTAGAAAATTCTGCACTATATCTTTTGTATTTCTGAAACATTCATTTTCTTAAGTGCAATTGTAAATAGGCCTACACGGTCTGGTATTTTTTATCTTTTATTACGATTATTTTTTTTTTGCCATTTTGTCATTTGCAGTATACTCCAATATGGTATGTCATACAGCACATGTACTTTCAATTGTTTTGTTTTTCACATATTTTGTCGATTTTAACATTTATTCTCTGCGTAATTTTAATGATTAACAATTTTTACGAAGCATTATGTCGCCATAGAGATAAAAATTTATTACGAATGATCGAGATCATTGTTTTTCAGTGTATTTTGAAGACAAAATGTCTTTTCTGGTTGGAATTAATGAAACAGGCGGATATGTTTCTGTCTAAATAGCACAATATTGAGACACCAGAAAGATATGTGTTTACAGAAAGAAATCTCTGCACCGATTAACTGTTGCTGTAATGTGATCAGGAAATAAGCTTCAGTTTGGTGTAGTTATATTAATTACACGGATTATATAATAAGAATTTGACTATATATTTCAGGTTGTGGGATTACTCAATGATCTCTATACATTATTTGATTCTATAATTGAATACTATGATGTATATAAAGTAGAGACAATAGGTGATGCCTATATGGTAGTCAGTGGTCTACCGAAACCCAATGGTATTATCCATGCTGGGGAAATTGCTTCTATGTCCCTCCATTTACTTGAAGCTATTGGTAAATTCAAAATACGACATCGTCCAGATGATAAGCTGAAATTAAGAATCGGTGTACATACAGGAAGTTGTGTAGCAGGTGTTGTTGGGTTGAAAATGCCCCGGTACTGTTTATTTGGCGATACTGTAAATACTGCTTCTAGAATGGAATCTCACGGTGAAGGTAAGCCTTAAAACAAAATTCGGATAAAGTTTATTAGTCTTACGAATCAAAGAGAAAAATATAAAATCATAATATTTGGTGCGAATTTCATAGCTTAGCTCCGTATTATAAAAAGCTATAATAACATTAGTAATGGCAATTTTCCTGAATTTACGCCCGGTTAGAGAAAAGTCCGATCAATTCATTTAAATTGGAACTCTACTTCTATAGTCAGCGGCAATGTCAATAACATTAATATCTTTATTATGCCTTATTGAATACTATAACAGTATATCGTCATGATCATGGTCATATATTTTGTCGAAAAAAAAACCGAAAAACATTGCTTATAACTTATAGACGATCATAATTGCATTAAAAGTCGCCTACTAGAAAAATGATAAAAAGGCAGTTGCGCTTAACACATTTTATTTTTCTGGTCTTTTACTAAAATCAACAAGTTTTCTATAAACGTGATAAAGTCAGGAAAAGTGTCAGAGTGTCAGACAAAAAGTTGTGAATAGGAATGAATAAATGGTGTTAAGTGTAACTTTTCAAAACCTCAGTAAAGCTTTTAAACTCATTGATTTATTGAGTGATATTTGAATGGGCTGGGGGTATTTTTTTTTATCTGAAAGGATTTATTTGGTTTTGGACTTATTATGATATCAACAAATACAGCCTTATTATAATAAATTATTTGTATGTTTTTGTGATTTTTTTTTTTTTTTTAACATAATTATTTAGACCGATATTCAATATTTTATAAAATGGTAATGTTCAACAAGAGACCAGTAGTTCAGTTAAACGAACTATATTTATTTATGTCGTAATATCATATCAGACAGCTTTTAACTAAAAGATTCACTTAAAACATAAACTAATTATAGATATTATATCATTTATCTTTCATCTTCCAAGCTTCCAGCCAAAACCGTTCTTGATATAAAAAAAAGTTTGTTGTTATAGTAGTTAACAGTCCAAATAGAAAGTTATATTGACATTGTGTCAATTTACCGGGTATTTTTTACATTTTACAATATTTAGAATACAGCCGTAAAAAAATCAACATAATGTTGAACACTAGGAAAAAGTATATAGTCTGAATTCCCATTTTTAAGCTTGTTCATATGAACAATGATATTACATGTACTTATTTTATATATCATATATTGTTATTGTTATTCCTAACAGCGTTGAGGAAGTCAATATAATCTTAAGAACAAGACATGGTTATTTGTGTTTTGAATCTCTTTAATTCCATATGCCACTGATTATTCCTTCTAAATTTTCTTTCGGTTTCACCTGGTAATGCTTTTGTGTTTGAGATTTAATACCAGTTCGATTTTATATCATTTCATTGTATTCACTAGCAGAATCGGAAAAACAACATTCCCTTAGGCCTTGCAATTAAATCTAAATTCTATCTGGTTTAACAAATAGGCTTCTAGTGACGGTTGAATATACCATGCAGCTTCACCATGTCAAAAGAATTTTCTGCATTTTGATATGATTTAATATCGGGTTATTCCGTTACTAATTCCCATTTAGAAATCAATTCTGTTCACTTATAATGTCTGTAGAAAAATTTCACCACTTCGCAACATTTCGACCGCTAACTAGAAACCAGAAACTTTTAAAAGTAATTCTTTCCTGTTATTTCTTAGAAACTCTTTGCTCTAGAATATTTGAGCAACTTGTATAATTCAAAGCCTTACTGTATTTAAGGTAACTTAAGATTTGTGATACTGTTAAGTGAAAGTAAACGTAAGATAGCCTGCAATCTTTCCATTCACTTTATTCATTGAGCAGATTGGTCGAAGTTCAATTCCCTCAAGGAAATATTCTACGTCATTGTCATCAGATTTCCTATGACCAGAAAATATGGTGCCGATCTCACTATTTGTATAGATTAACTCATATCATTAGGTGGAAGTTCATTAAACTAGGTCAGACCGTAGCATTATTACTAATAATGGGAGACATTAATAACATCGATTTGCACCATTCCAATTTTTAATCAGACGTAGCTATCGCAAAGGCATATGTTTTAGCATTTATATGATTACAGGAGCCACAGACATCTGAAACCAAATTGAAATTATGCAATAATGCAAATAAGCCATTAATGGCCCAGATACTCATAAAAAAGCTAGAAATCCTCTTTCAGTTTCAGCAGTTGTTCGAAGAAAACATTTATTTTGAAAACTAGACAGGGGCATTGTCTCCTTAATGTGAAAAAGGCGACTTTGAAACATTGTTTTTAGAAAATAAAAAGAGTTTATGTTTGTTTGAATTTTCAGTCAATTGCTCTTTAAAAACTACTCGTCGATTTCCTAAAGAAGTACTCATTAAACATTATGTGCCAATGTTCAGTTCCGATTTTCAATATACGTTGTAGTATTTAACTTACAAACCTCTAGTTATTGACAACCGTATCATTTAAATAAGGCAAAACTTGCCTGAGTGCAAAGTTAATTCAAGTCATCGTCTAGTTTAATCTTGTATAATAGTATTCCATATCATCTGGCTAATGTTACGTTTAATAATTGTCAATTATCTAACGTTTACAATCCCGAGAGAATCGCGATGAAATTTTCTCTCTTACCAACTATGAATATCTTACAGCTATTCAATTAATCCCAGTCATTTTCGATTAAATACAGGCTATCTATTTCCAGCCCTAATTCTGTACACGTAGTAATTTCAATGCACCATAATGTGTATACGAGATGAAAGGATTCCAACATTTTTTGTGTCGATTAGTGTCAAGGGATGATCAAAGGCTCAACTTGTAGCTCACAATTTTTAATGATTTTTCTCCCAAGTGACATATGCTTTCCTATCCACATCAAACAAATCTCTTTATAAAAACGCTTCTTCAAGTTAAGTAGAAAGTTTTTAAGTTGAAAAAAAAACAGTTTTAAATCTGTTGAATCTTTTTGCGGAAGTTGTGAAAAATGAGTCCCTGTGATTAGTTCTGACAAGATGGCTTAGCCTTAATTCACCCTTTAAATTTGTAAATTCGGTGAGCTATTTGTACTACTAATTGAGCTCAAATATTGGAGTTATGTATGATGTACTACTATTTGAGCTCAAACATTGGAGTTATGTATAGATCTACTACTATTTGAGCTCAAATATTGGAGTTATGTATAGATCTATTACTATTTGAGCTCAAACATTGGAGTTATGTATAGATCTACTACTATTTGAGCTCAAACATTGGAGTTATGTATGATGTACTACTATTTAAGCTCAAACATTGGAGTTATGTATGATCTACTACTATTTGAGCTCAAATATTGGAGTTATGTATAGATCTATTACTATTTGAGCTCAAACATTGGAGTTATGTATAGATCTACTACTATTTGAGCTCAAACATTGGAGTTATGTATGATGTACTACTATTTAAGCTCAAACATTGGAGTTACGTATAGATCTATTACTATTTGAGCTCAAACATTGGAGTTATGTATAGATCTATTACTATTTGAGCTCAAACATTGGAGTTATATATAGATCTACTACTATTTGAGCTCAAACATAGGAGTTATGTGTAGATGTACTACTATTTGAGCTCAAACATTGGAGTTATGTATAGATCTATTACTATTTGAGCTCAAACATTGGATTTCGGGGAAGGGAGGGTTTGATTCTCCCAAATGTACAGGCCTAGGGTGGAGCAGACACTTTATTTAGAAATTAGGATTAAGGGTCTTGATATTGGGTTTTCTTCTGTTCTTATTCCGATCTGAAATTAGAAAAAATAACTCGCCCGATGGGCGAGAAGTATAGTATCTGTTATGTACTGATTGTTTTTAGTTTACTATGAACAATATTATCATTTAAGTTCTTATTTTTTGAATATGCAACTATCATTTTCTGCTTATAGGATTTATGTATAGATCTATTACTATTTGAGGTCAAACATTGGAGTTATGTATAGATCTATTACTATTTGAGGTCAAACATTGGAGTTATGTATAGATCTATTACTATTTGAGGTCAAACGTTGGAGTTATGTGTAGATGTACTACTATTTGAGCTCAAACATTGGAGTTATGTATAGATCTATTACTATTTGAGGTCAAACATTGGAGTTATGTATAGATCTATTACTATTTGAGGTCAAACGTTGGAGTTATGTATAGATCTATTACTATTTGAGGTCAAACATTGGAGTTATGTATAGATCTATTACTATTTGAGGTCAAACGTTGGAGTTATGTGTAGATGTACTACTATTTGAGCTCAAACATTGGAGTTATGTATAGATCTATTACTATTTGAGCTCAAACATTGGAGTCATGTATAGATCTGCTATTATTTGAGCTCAAATATTGGAGTTATGTATAGATCTGCTATTATTTGAGCTCAAACATTGGAGTCATGTATAGATCTGCTATTATTTGAGCTCAAATATTGGAGTTATGTATAGATCTGCTATTATTTGAGCTCAAACATTAGAATTATATATAGAAAATCACATTTGTTTCTTAAAAGGTTGCCATGTTCTATCTAACTAAGATTTAGTCTTTAACTCAACAGTGCTTTGCTTTGTTCACATCACTGTTTTATATTTTTCAGCCTTAAAAATCCACTGTTCTCAACAAGTAAAAGAGTTATTAGACCAACTAAGTGGTTATGAACTTGAAGAAAGGGGCGTGGTTTGTATGAAGGTAGGTAGAGATATAACACTCAAACAACAATTTCATCAACAACATCTTTCAAGGATAGTCCAGCCAATCTAGTATGTAATTATTCCATCGGAAACAATAGTCATGAAACTATGAATGAACAATTTATTTTCCAAAAGAATTTCAATCAAATTTTACTTTTCCGATTATTCACGTTAATTTTTTCTGACATCAGACAACATGGCTATTGTTTTCATTGGCTCACTGTTCTGAGAACTGAACAACTCAAACATATGTCGTTAAATTATTGGTAAGGCTATGGTCACTGTGACAAAAACATTACTATGTGATACCATTGCCGACAATTTAAGTATTTCAACTGGAAATTAATCATTGGCTTAAGTCGCATTTGAAGCTATTAAAGGTATCCTTAAGCGCACAGTCCGCTCTGAAACAAGGTTATAAACACATTTTTAATGCAGCCAGTAGGTGTAAAATTCATCATTCATATATCGAAAACTGTGGCATTCGAAGAGACAAAAATATTACAAGGAACCAAGCAAGAAAATATAACATATCAAGACCAGATTTAGTTCCAATATTATGACCAATTCTAGGTACTAGAATAGAACAATCACGTCAATTTGTCTTACATACTAAAATGACACTTTGACGTATCAATAACACTTCCAGAGCATGTCAAGCCAATTGGTATTCAATAAGGTATCGAACAGATAGACCACTAATAAAACATATAACTGGATTGTCGATTCTTTGAAGCGAACTGTCAAATAGTTTTCTAGTAGCCACTGTCTTGTGGAACTCATTTATTCACCATTAGCAAAAAAGTGAAAATACATAATATATACAAAAGACTAGAATATCATTCCAATCATTAACACTGACTGACAAGCATTACACCCCGTCGCAAAAAGGCGTTATTATTGAGACCCTACCATCACCTTATATCTCGATAGAATCAATCTAGCGAGTAAAAAGTCGTGGAGATGCAACATGGTCGCATAGGTTGCCGTACGAGAACGTCTCTTTTAGAATTTAGATAATCATCGCGCGTTTCTACATTTTATAGTCGCCGTAAAATCGCAATTGAGACTTGAGTATAACTAAACCATATAATCCAACCAAAAGACTGCATTCTATAGTTGCATATGATTTAATGCTTATCACTTTTGTATCTACCATTTCTGAAACGACAACACAATGTGTAGAATAACGCTTTATATTTCAGCTTTATTCAGATTGTAAATTTCATTTAATTTATTTTCAGGGTAAAGGGGATCAAACGACATATTGGATTGTAGGTGAAGATACGGAGAGACGACAGAGACGATTTCATAACGTTCATTTAGCAATATCAGAACAATTCCATAAAGGATCATTCCAAAGACGTCGCTTAAAGGACAAACGATTCAGTGGTGGTGGTTTTGATTCGAGAGAAGACTCACCAGACACTCCACGTGCTGATCGGGTACATTCTAACGGTGGGTTATTGGGACATCAATCTTCGGGATCAAACCTTCTTCAGCCTAACGGACTTTTCAGTGGACTCAGCAGTGCCGAATTGTTACGTCGATCGTCATCACGGCGGCGAAGATTGAAATTCACTGTAGGTGGTGATGAGGAGGTATCTCCGGACAGTCGTAGTGATTTCTATACCGCTAATACAAATGTGATAGAAACAGCTCCGTTAATAACACGGAAGAGTATCGACGGGGAGGAAAATGTGTGTGTTCAGCATCGTACAAGTTGTGTTTAGCCATTGGCAAACGTATTAAAATCAGCCTTATGTCTTCAAACCTCACAAACGTCTGTGCATCCTGTGTAGATAACTGTTTCACAATGAATTCCCATTTACTGTGTGATATTTATATTATTTAACTGACGTGTTATTTGCACATATACGCATTATATACGTACTGAAAATCAACCTAGGGGTCAGGATTTCACAATATCATAATATTGGTCATATAGAATGATCGCGGTAATTTCCAGGAGTCTCCGATTATAATTTGAGCCTTACATTTATATTCTGAAATTTAAAATAAATAATTTGACAAGTTTACCGAGTGCAGCCTGTGCTGACAATGACAATTGTACATATTTTGTATATATTATATGCTGAATGAATTAGCGTCCACCGTGTTCCATTTTACAAAATCTCATATCCAGTGATATTTGTACATAGCCTACATCTCAATTCCATATTTGTTTTAGTGAACCAGATGGTCGAAGCTTCTAAATGATTTCCATTTTTTTTGTATTTATGATGAAGACGTTCTCATTAGTTTGTTAAATGTAAGCTATTTCCAAGCAAGCATATTGTGTGATATGCACCGTCATTTCAAGACATAACCATATTCATAACCGTTTAATGAGTTTATTTTTATAATGTACGACTGATGCAGAATATGGATCTATAAAGCTTTAGGGCAGGTGGGCGGGGATGTGTGCTTAAAACTGCAATGAAAATATGTGGTTGCAGATTGGTCAGGGACATTCTTTGTATTTCATAAAAAAGTTATTATAAAAGATGATATGTTTAATGACTGATATAAAAACAATTCTTGGCATTCAACTCAGCTGGCAAATTTTTAACATAGGGAACATTTTACATTCTCAATATCAAATAATAAATTTGTGACACAATAGATACGTCATGTAATAATTTTTTCATGAGGCTGGTTTGATAATATTTCGAAACCTTTCATGCTAGGGGATCAAAAATGAATCACCCTTATTGGCTATTGGCTAAATTATTGTTTAGATTTTGTATATTGGATTATTATATTGAAACGTTTAAATATTTGTTTATATGTTATATGTAGATATTGTTTATATTTCATGTTATTGTTTGTTATTGTTACAAATATATTGAATAAAAGAATACATCAATGTTTACAAAAATTACAAAATCATCAAATCAAACCTGATGTTACTTAATTTAAAGATGCACAATGCAGGGTGGAAATGGGTTCCATTTTTAATGACTTTTCAACGAAGTAAATTATTTGTAGTTAATGATCTACTGCAGTATTGTGGTATAAATAGTACCAAAGCAAAACGAAACGCCTATTCAAGGGATGCAACTCTTTACGATATTGTTTAATCAGTACTACAAAGTTGAAAAGTGCATAGATACTTAATGTTTTTTAAAAAGCTTTATTTTAGAAATGCGCAAAGGGTTTTAATTGTTGAATTCATTCTTTGTTTTTAAAAACTTCATCTTCATTTGCATATCCAAAGAATATACTGTTTTGTATGTTATATTCCATATTTCACATCTTCTGACTAACTATTTAAAAAGCTATATTATGGATTCACTCCGCTAAAACATTTTAGGCAAAATGTAGTCCAGGCTATTTTTAGAAATCTTCATTCTCTCGCCCTTTTGGGGTTTTTGCATGCCTATTTTTGAGTAATTTTTGGTCTAGAATCTGCCTGCTCTGAAGAAAACTACCTTAATTATTGGATCCTCTAACCCGAATCGTATTACCAAATACATTCTTACCCCGGTGCCCAAATCAATTACACGGGTAGGCTAAACTTCAGGGACAGCAAAGGGCAAACGATTGCTCCTTCGTTCGTAAACTTTTTCATGGCAGAGTGAGAACGTGAGATATTGTCCCTCTGTCCATTTGACCCACTTTTTACGGACGCTTTTTGGATGACATTTTTATGGTTTTGACTTATTCTATCGAACAGTTTTGGGAATTCTTTGAAATCCTTCCATCAAACTAACCGCAAACGTGAGTGACAAAAGCATAGACTTTCTCGACACCACTGTCTTTAAGGGAGATTTCATAGCAGAAACAAATAAACTGGATATTAAAGTATATTTCAAAGAAACTGATACTCACCAACTCTTGCACAAGAGCTCTTTCACCCAAAACATACTCTTTCTGATATAATTAGGTCACATGTTTTACGATTTCACTGAATTTGCACAAGATCTTCTGATTTCAACCAAGCCTGTAGATTGTTTTCTCAAAACTGAAAGAGTGTGGGTACTCTAAACAATTTTTAACATAACAAACATAACAAATTCCACTTTCCACAGATACCAGCTAAAACAGGCTTTATGCCTAAGTATCTCCAGGTTTAAGGAGTGCTCCATGTCCCTTTATATCAGAAACTCATTATTTTTTAAGTAACTCTTCGAATAAAAGGTACCCGAAACAGGAACATCTAACATGTAAACATTCGAATGTATTTAATTTCATGTAAGAAATGCACCAAACAATATGTAGGAGAAACTAAGAGTAATATATGAACTCGTTTTAATGCTTACAGGTCGGATATCAAATTAAAGAAAGACAAGCCTGTTTCTAATCATTTCAACCTCGACGACTATTCAATAGACGATCTCAACCTAATCCCAATTGAGCGCATAGAAATTGACTTGCCCGAAGATGAAACTACCAAATGCTGTCAATCTAGGGAAGCCCATTGGATTGAGACATTGAATACAAGACCTATAGGACTAAATATTCACCATAATGTATGCATAGCACCCTTTATTCACTTGTTCTATACAACCAGCAATTGAGCAAGCAGGATAGTTCAGGCCACTAAAAGAGCCTTCAAGAGAAATTGTCCAATGTCTATAAGCGGAAAATGATGGTTGCATTTTCAAAAAATAACTTAAATGATAATATTGTTCATAGTAAACTAAAAACAATCAGTACATAACAGATACTATACTTCTCGCCCAACTCTTTTATCTTATTTCAGATCAGAATCAGAACAGAAGAAAACCTTTAATCCCAATTTCTAAATAAAGTATCTGTTCCACCCTAGGCCTGCACATTTGGGAGAATCAAACCCTCCCTTACCCGAAATCTAAAAATAGTCGTTTTGTGAACTGCCAAACTCTAGCGGATGAGCATAACCGGTATTAGTCTACTTTCAGTTTGACTAGCTCAAAATTTTCATGGTCATCATAATATAATGATTATTTTAGGAGACATTAAGGATTGGTCAGGCTTTCATTCGACATATTAGAAAACTTTCAACGAGATTTCTGGAAAAAGTTGTAGAAGGTTGAATTTCGTGTTTTAACATGGGAAGAGATGAAAAGTGGAGTGAGTCCATTTAAAATACCATTGTCTTTAGCCTGTATTTTATGGTTTATAGCATAGTTATTTCCCTTTCATTGTTATTTTACAATTGACGGCATCAACGAGCATTGTTTACTAAATTTATAATCCATCCTATAATTTCAAACTTTTATTGTAATTTGCAGATGCTGAAAAATGTGTTTATTATTATGCAAGTAGTGCTGAGCAGTTTATTCGGAAATGTTAAGTCTTGATCCTTAATACTTCTACTGGATAATCGCTCACCTTTAATCGATAGAGCAGATGCATTAAGAGTGATTTTTGTTTAACAGATTAAAAAAAAAGATTTTTATTTGATCCTCATGATGTAATTGATTGTAGTTATATGGAAAGTGACGTGCTGATGCATTTATGGTTGTTCAACAAGCCAAGAAAATCGAGAATAATCGTTACAACTGATCAAAAGAGTTGAGCATACTTCTTTTAAGGGACATTATGAGAAGAGTAGTAATGTTGTCCTTTTAAACGAATATCAATTATAAATGCTTTGCGTCTTGGAAACTATTCTGCGACCACTCGGCAATAGATTACATGTCAAACCATAATTCGGCTATTGTTCGAATGTCAACTTAACTTTCGGCTTTTGTTCCATTGTCAACTAATATTTCGGCTTTTGTTCCAATGTCAACCCATATTTCGGCTATAGCTCCGATGTCAATGCTTCAATGTCAACCGATATTTAAGCTATAGCTCCAATGTCAACCCATATTTAGTCTATTGCTCCAATGTCAACCCATATTTCTGCTATTGCTCCAAGGCAATCCATATTTCGGTGATTGTTCCAATGCCGAACCATATTTCGGTGATTGTTCCAATGCCGAACCATATTTCGGTGATTGTTCCAATGTCGAACCATATTTCGGTTATTGTTTCAAATTTAATGCCGGTTCCATTCATCAGTAGTTGTCTTAAGCAGACATCTTAATGTTGGAATTAAAGATATGAAATGAAATAATTGGCAAATGAAACAATCATCTATTTTATTTATCATTCATACACAATCTATAATATTCTCTAGAAACCTCATATACAATCTATATGGAATTATACAATATACACAGACGCATTAAAGATATTCCGCTGGAAAAGATCATTTTGCTAATCCACTTGAATGCGTGTGTATTGTGTCTTGTTCAAATAACCAGCTGTTGTGTCGACGCATTTAGGATATTCCGCTAGAAAAGATCATTTTGCTAATCCACTTGAATGCGTGTGTATTGTGTCTTGATCAAATAACCAGCTGTTGTGTCGACGCATTTAGGATATTCCGCTAGAAAAGATCATTTTGCTAATCCACTTGAATGCGTGTGTATTGTGTCTTGTTCAAATAACCAGCTGTTGTGTCGACGCATTTAGGATATTCCGCTGGAAAAGATCATTTTGCTAATCCACTTGAATGCGTGTGTATTGTGTCTTGTTCAAATAACCAGCTGTTGTGTCGACGCATTTAGGATATTCCGCTGGAAAAGATTTTTTTGCTAATCCACTTGAATGCGTGTGTATTGTATCTTGTTCAAATAACAAGCTGTTGTGTCCACAACTAATTGGGTCCTTCCCGAACCATGTCCTTTCTTGTTGAATGATCCATATTCATCTGTTTCTTCACATTTTGATTGTAAGGTTGAGAAATGGGTGTCCTATTTTTTTTTAATGGTATTTCCTCTGTGCAACCAGCTGTACATGTAAAAGATCCTTCAGCAGTTTGAGATAGGAAAACGTGTACGCTAATGAAGCTGTTCTCAGTTCTTCATCTTTAGCTCAATCCGAAACAAAAAAGAAACAGGTCTCAATTTCATTGCATTTCTGACTTTGTCGGGACCAAATAATATATTTTGATGCTATGATCTAATGACACGGAACTTTGAAGCGTCTTTAGAGTTTGTCCACATATATCATTTTTAGTTCTTACACCACAGGACATTTTGTAGCAGGATTCATTGGACTATTTAGGGGACATTGGAATGCTCTAGCAAATGGAATATAATTCATTGCAGCTCCATTGATTCTGAAAAATAAATAAAATCTGTCCTTGATATGGGAAAACAACAGCTAATACAAAATCATTTCTGGAGAATAAAAATCCGACTTGTAACCGATTCCATCAGCATGTCAAGCACATGTTCATTGTCCTACTGCTGTTCTCGGCCTTAATCGATAAACAATCAATGCAATATAATTTCGGTGCAGCTTGTTGGGGGCATTGAGATCGAGCAAATGGGATTCTTACGTAAGTCTCCTTAATAATTGTATTATGTGGACTGTTTACCTGTATTTACTGGGTGGTAAAGGGTTAGTAGAATCTTGTATATAATGGTCTAATATTCCTCTTTTATTTACTTTTTCACACATTGTCTGAATAGAACAAAAAAGAAATGTGTTATACTACGCTACTCTGCTAAATTGAACAATACATTTGGTTGACCTCATTCGTTTCTTTGGTAGAAGTCATAATTCTGAAAATATTGAGTCACAAATTCATGAACTTTCACCAAGCCTTATTTTTAATTCACCTGGACTGGATGCTTTTGATATTTCATCTAGCAATCATTCAGCAGCAATGACACTTGTCTAATTCCGAAATCCACAAGCAACATAATGGTAGCAATTTATGAACTTTTCACATGATGAATTGTATCAATCATAGTTCAATGGTTCATCAAAATGGAATGGCCATTTTATTTGAATATTACCTGAGCATATAGTATAAAGAATAGTTGATTGTTACTATAAGGTAAACCTGGTATAGTTATAACATCTCTTCTTCCATTGTTAAACCTCAACCACGCCTGCAATTATTAACATTATAGATAAATGATAGCGGTAACATTTGACTCTAGGCTTATTCGACCTTCCTCGAAATAAATTTCATCTGATAAAACACGGATACAGAATTTCATGTGAATTTTATTATAAAACCCTTAAAAATCAGGGAAATCAGATTAGAATCGGGCAATTATTAATAACATAAGGTTTTAAAATCTAAAAGTTGGGTGTTCTCTTCCATGACATTGTCCATATCACAAAACTTTTTTAAACATTTTAGGTACATGCTAAGGGAATCGGGGTTTCAAACTGTAATTGATATGGAACAATCTTTATTAAACATACTTCATAGGTTATCTTCAAAGACAAATGATCTCTCCAACTTTCATTTTTGATTCGATCACCATGTACCTACAATGGAAATACGGTATGTCCTTAAACACAAATACAGAACTAATTGCGTAGATGAAAAACCTGTCAGAACCACATCTCATCTTTTTTGGAGATGGGTTGCTATTTTTAGACACGTGACAAAAAACCGTTATATAATCAAATTTCAGCAAAAACTGCTAGAGTCGTAAACAAACGGAGTTTTTCAAATTGACATTTGAAATTGGTCGATATTGCAGTTCAAAATCGAAATAAAACATTTGACATGTACCATGAAAATTACGTTACCTTGTAAGTTTGTGAATTTTCCGTCAAAAGCTGGAAGTTGTCATACATATGAGCTAAACAATCCATTTTTAATGCCAGGTTTAAAATGGCACTGTGATCTAGTAAATTGTCTCCATAATGACTTAACACAACTACAAAAAAATCAGGCAATATAAGGATACTGAAAAATACTCTTATGCACCAGTTACACCTGGATATTCTGTAATTAATTTGATGTCAAATATTTTGTGCATATCCCTGGACGAATCCATGCATACATAAGAACAATCTATTTCATTTATGTAGTGATATAAGAAATAATGGACGTAATATAAGTAACATAATTATTTAGTTTCCATTATCAATGAATTTATCAACATTAAATTTGTTTTTGTCATTGAAAACGTCTTTGTATGTGCCCATTTACTGCACATGATTGAGTTGAGACGAGTGAATACTACTTTCATTTTTGGTATCTTGGGATGTCGTTTCTGTTCAAAATACGATTTGAGGACACATACAAAAACAAAAACAGGTTGGAAACCACCGAGTTAAGATGTCAACTGTCACATTTAGAAACGGAATTGAAAAGGTCGTAGGGAACTCAAGGTATATTAACTGGGACAAACGGCTTTTTTCACCAACCACATTCCAAATTACTCTTCCATTACATCAAAGTAAATGTAATCACTTTCTACTTACAAATCGTTTAAGTGTAATTATTTCAATCAGAGAAAACCGTGATATAGATAAGGTATAGAGCAACGCAAAACACTTAGTCGGTAGTTAAAGTGCACTTATTCGACTGATTGTTTTCCTTGAGGCATGAATTGGTCTGTGTCAACAATTTACTGGGATCAAAATGACAGAACATTCAACGAATCGTAGGAGGTTTGCAGGTAGTCATTGATTTGAACTCCAAAATGAAGGTACAAGGTTGAAATTTATTTGCTTTAGATATAAATATACATTCTAAAGTCTGGTTGCATGTTTATTGAAGTTAGTGAATGTGAGATACTGTATATCACGTTTAAAGACCTTTCAGCTTACAACGACAGCTATGAATATAAATACATTAATCAAAGGCATTCGTAGGCAAGGTGTCTTCAAACAAGCTTCCATAATGCATATGAATAATTATGTGACCTCTGATCTGACAGAAAAAAGTTTAAAAAGTAGTTCCTTTGTTCAACGTAAAAACGTGCAATCAGTCTTGAATATTACTTGACGACCGGATTTTTCGCAATGCTCGCTCAAAAAGAATGCTATTTTTTGATCGAATCATACTGCGGTCAAACAGTTTTGAATACATGTCTCTTTTTAATGATAGTGTGAAATGTACTAGATACTTACAATCAAGGTCGAGCTTGTTGGCCATCTGTCGAGCTAGAAATGACCCAAAAGAACCAAAATGTATAACTAATGGTAGATATACTGGGTAGGATATAGGACCTGTTACACCACGACCATCTGAAATATAAACAAATAAGGACACATTGTCAGTAGTGTATGGTACTACAGCCGGCAACAAAGAAAGACTATCAATGATAAGAACCTGGGGTGAAATACTTCGTAGTAAGGACCAAATCATATCATACAGATCTGTCTATAACCATCTTACAGAAAATTTTGATCGCAAGACCTTAAGAATCGCTTTTTAAAAATCACCTTTAATATAGCTTCTAAATGTAGCATTATTTTTCAATTATCGTTTATCTATTATTCATTTTATTTTTAAAAATTCTATCACTGATTTGAGCTCAGCACTTCCCAATAATCAAAACTTGGCTTGATACGTAGGCTGTATAAAAGTCTTAAATCCAACAGCTTTGCCTACCTACCTACCAGCTTTGCTACACTTCTCCAAAAATCTTAACACATAAAAATAAATAAAATACCCAACCCCTTAGAGATTGTGAAGGAGTTCTCTAATTTGATTCACGGCCTAAGTCTCAATTCCACCCTCGAAAGGAATCTTTAAAATTCATTAGCAATATCTTACCATACACACTATCTCAGTTAATAAAGACCAAAAAGATCAGAATAAACACAATAAGAACAGAGTAATTTAAATTATTAACCACAAAGAATATTTTTTAACAAGTATTATTATCATTATATCTTGAATCAATAACGTCTATGTTATGGTTTATGTATTATTACTATGAATAAATCATTATAGTAAAAATGTTCACAAGTTAAAAGTAAAGTAACTACCAAAAGCTAATGCGGAGTACGACGTTGCTAAGGATAAGATGAAGAAGATTGTCGAGCTATTGTTGTTCAGTGAATTCATATAATTTACTTAAGTCTTAACATTTAGAAGTAAATCTAACCTGTCGTAAGGCTATTGCATCCGAAAATGCAACATGAAATGATTTAACAAACGTTCAGGCATTAGATCATGGTTACTAAAGATGTGGTATGATTCCTATACAGCGCTATATACTACAATGAGATAAGTTGCAACATATTGTAGCGAACATAGAACGAAATATCGAATATCGAAAGCAGGCAAGTACCTTATCTTGGGGCCCAAATGAGTGTATCACTGTGAATGGTAAATGGTAAAACACATTAAATTATCTTACATTTTTAATATTGCTACATCAATCAAACATGCATCGTTAACGTTACTTTAAACTATTAAAACGCACCGTATAGCAAGTTACCAGGTTCTACAATTCACCATTTTTTATGTCGTTTCTAAAACCCACATTTTCCATGAGATGTAATGACATGTTCTATGTAACCCAATACTGATTTCCTCGATCAATATGTGACAAGTTAACTGTAATCTTTCATTCATAGCACACCCACTGGCATCAGGTAAATACGTTCTTCGCTTGATTTGTTTAGCTACACAATATTCTTTTGAAAATAATGATGAAAATAAGAAAGTGAAGAAGTGTCAATATTGGCAATGACCAGTAAATAGAGCTGTCAGAACGCCATATTGATCCTTTGGAATAATTCAATAACCAGCTTGACACAATCTAACTGTGTTCGGAACGTCAAACTAGATAGAAAACTGAATTACTGGTGTTCAAATAAAATAGATATTTCATATTTCACCTTATTACAAATTATTATCTTAACTTCAAATTATCAGTGAAGATTGCATAAAGTGTTCTCTCAAAGGAGCAGATTTTGTCCATTACGAGTCCTTATAGAGCATAGCTGTCGGCAAATTAGCTAATAAATAAATGAATCGTAAAGAAAGTGTAACTAGGTCGTTAACTTATTAGCTAGCTAATAAAAACCATGACACTTGAATTACTTCCCCTTAGAGATTGAGTAAACTTATTTCTGATGCAGTGTTATAGAGATCAATATTCGCGGTCGAACTTCAACAAGAGAAGTTCTTGAAGCAATGTCAACAAGTTAGGGTAGAATCAGAAAATCTCGACAGATATTGTTTCCTGTTTGGTGAAGCTCGGTTGTTGCAATTGATACCTTGACAAACTCTGTTCGATATGGAGTTTGGTGGAAACCATGGCTTGCTTGACCGACCCTACAGACAAATTGGTTTTAATGAAATGGAAAATAGGGTCGAATTAACAATGAGTTAATAGAAATGTAAAGTCTAATGGTATATCGACAATTCTACAACAGTAGTCAGATTTACAAGCGTTGATTAGATGCTGATATTCTGTATTTCTGCGGGTTAGGAAGTTTGTTTTACTTCAGTTTCTAGAAACCCGTCTTATTAAATTAAGCTGTGGCTGCCTTCATCGTTACATTGGTGATCAATAGAATTATCGGAATTGAGATGTTAAGAATGATTAAAGATTTAATACTGTCTTTGAATGTATTCGATGGAATCTGAGAGACGATCTGAACCCTGACCAGCCTGTTACTTCCAATAAACATTAATTACCATATCTACCATAAATTCTATATTAAAAAGAAAATACACGACAATATCTCATAATTTATTGCAAATTAAGAAAAGTTAACATCAAAGATTTTATTGTTTTGGTGTTCCATCATGTGTAAAAACTGCAGTTAATGAGTTTTGTAAGATGAGAGATGTCTGTAAGAAATTTGTAAGGGGGTACCCTAATTTAAAGCTGGTATTCCATATAATGCAAATAGGATGTTTTCAGTCTTTCCACCAACCATTATTACTCATAGACCGCGAATTCGCACAAACAATCATACGCCTGTCCTACTATTGGAAATAAAAGTCCATTTTCATAACGACTCTACCGATTATTTATCTACAGAATGAAATGAGCTTTTATCTAAATAATACAATGATTGATGCTTTAAATTATTAAGCTTGGAGACGTTTTCCTTGTGTGTTTAAGATTAATGGAGTGTCTTCGAAGCAATTTGTCCAAAACGTTGAAATCACAAAAGAGATATGATAGCATTTCAGAAGCGCAACTCTAGGATCTCCACTGAGTGGTGCTGTCTCAATTCCTCTTCCATTGTGATTTATGATTTTAACAGTCCAACTGGAATTTGGTATTCAGAAACAGTTTGTAGTTACCAAATAAACAATTCACAATGTCAAAATTAAGATCTGAAATTACCAATACCTAATTTAACTCATCAATAATTAATGAATAGAAAAGTGAATATTTGTTGACATTAATTAGACGAATCATGACGTTGAATAGAATGATAGAATCACAAGATAGCAACAATCATTTCAAACACACCAAATCAAAATATCAGATAAAATGCATGAAAAGAGAGTCAAAATAAGAAATCGCAACCTACTATTTATACTGCTGTCATGCCAATAACTCAACCTTCCCCTCCTTTCCTGGCTAGTGAGTCCCATGAACCGTAATTGCAATTGGGTGTGAGATGATCGTGGGCAGGTCGTGTTTATTTTCATACTAAAAATGTCTATATTTGTTCTATATTTTGTCTTGAAAAAGTCGATTAAGGGCAGTTTACGCTGATAACTTTGGTCATACTGAGTATCGTGAAATAACAATAATCATTCTTGTCATTGACATATTTGACAAGAAATTTTAAAAATGTTGTTTTTTTTAATGTCGTTCACCCTATAATTTGGCGAAAAGATGGCTAGATTCTCTATGATGTCTTTATAGCTTCGATACGTTATAAGTAAACCTGTATTGAAAAGTGTTATCGTCTTATTTTTCAGAAGAAAGTGGAATATAGGCGATTGGCCTTCCAAGGGGCTTTGGTTAAATCAAAATTTTCCCAACGTACTGAATGCTCGTGGCGAATTGAAATTCACTATGAACTGTTTCATAGTAGAAACAGATTAAATTAATGGGTTAATGGGCTGTATATTACGAATTGTCATATTTTCCTGATAAGTCAACTGTATAAGGAAAATACAACAGACAAAAAACAGTCTAGATATAATAGAGACATTGTTAAGCTAAGTCGTCAAATTAGTAACAAGTCGTCAATCATAATATTTACTTGATTGAATTCATCTTTTACATTTAATATTTGAAGAAATATAAATTATTTTCAAATTGAAAACCAGACACAGTAAATTGACTTCAATTATTTGTTCTTACTGTTTTGGCATTTGTAAAGATATTATTATATTTCGGGTTCTGTATAAAGCATGCCTTAAATGGTATGTCTAGTCACGAGTTTTCCCGTGTTCATAGGCCCATAAGGTGCAGAAAAGTAGGACGTAAAACTCCATTCATTTCATTTAATATAGTCATAGGTTTTAGCATTGAAGGTTTACAGTAATACTATTACTGGCCCTTATACTAATCATTGTCGCCATATTGTCAGCCATCTTGAAAACATCTTGGATAAGCGTATATCTATTTATATTCTATTCTTCTCAACCTAAGTTAGATCATTTCACTCTGAAATAAATTGGTGATTTTCAAACGTATTTCACTCGGAAAATATATTCAACGATTAACCATGAATAGATATAAAATCATACTCCACATATCGAGATAATTCAATGTGACCCTTGGGCCGTGGTGAATGAAGTCTATTGCAGTTGTAGATCACCTTGCCTCCCATTCCCTCTGGTCCGACGATTGAAAAGCACGGTTTTATGTCCAACGTTGAACATTTTTATACGTCCTGGGGTATGAAAGTAGCAAAACGTAACCATGCTGAATTTATAATGATGGTTACCCTTGAAAGTCTTTGATATATGCAAACAAATGATCTAAGAAAAAACGTTGGTACATTAAGCTCCAAGCTTATAAACAGTGAGCGTTCAATTATTACTGAAGCTTATTTTAGAAGTTAATCATTGCTTGAAACTTTGAACTGTGTCTTTTTGGATGACCGATATTTTGCATTTTATGTTTCCCTGACGGCAAATAAAGTTTGTTAACCAATTTCAGCCATACTTCCTTCATCGAAGTACTTATGTGTTAAGCCGATCACATAATGAATATATTAATTCAAATCTCATATCTACAGGCAGCAGGTGTAGAAGAGAGAATTTTCATCACGAATTCTTGACCAGATTAACGGCTATTTGGTCAGTTGGTAACAAATAGTTTTACTACAGATTTTCTTATAGGTGGTGTTAGTATCGCTTGATTGCTTCTCAATGAATATAACGTCACTCAATATTACTACTAACCCTAAGCTAGTCATTCATCTAAATCAAATCAGAGCGTAAAATATTGAAGATGTGTTCAGATCAAATTGACATCCATCAAGTAAACTGTAATCTATTACCAATGTCTTATAAAACTATTTTCTGATCTACCATCATTGTATACCCAATAATCTTCATGACCTGTCGTTTTTATAGAACAAACAGGAATAGGGGTGATTAATCTTCATACCGCCCTTGCAACTTACTGTGTATACAAATGCTGGTCGCGTATTCTTGATGCTTTCGCAAATACTTTCTGAAAGATTTTTACCATGGATTTTGCGAAAAAAAGGGCATCATTAACGTCGGATAGAATATTTAGTCAAATTGGTTATTGGTGTATCTGAATATGTCATGAAACTAAGATCGAGAGCATGTATTTGTTACATTAATATTTTTTTTATCATAATGGTTATGTTCCGAAGTTCATGACTAAGGCATAAACTTGAAGTTGGAAACCTAAGAACGTTCATCAGTATTATAATAGGGTTTACACTCCAGATTGAAAGATGTAAAATAAAAAAATGTTTCCACTGCAGATTGTTCTTTAAAGAAAAAGTACGTTTTATACTTACACAAACAGCCCATAAATTGAGCAACTGATGCCACATTTAAAGGATTAACATCTTGTTTCTTCTGACCATCTAAATACTGTAGATTTTGGTGAGTTATAAGTTTTATGACGTTGGTAGTAAAGGAATGATCAGAAAAGAACCCATTAGGTATGGTGGTTTGGTGGTTCACTGTACTGTTATACATATCATGTACATCATCTGTACATCTTTTGATAATAGATTGTGTACCTTGTACACCAATATTAAATAACTTAAGTACTTGTTCGTGTAGGGTTAATTTTAAGGAGTCCACAACGAAACGGAATCTCGAATCACCTTTAACCCTTTTATTGTGGTCAATGGAACAATGTAATGTTCCTGGTATAAATTTAAACACATATCCCACACATTGTCTCTCCAGTTGATGATCGAAGCCCTGTATCAATAAATCTTGTTTTGGTGTAAGTTGTTTAAGTATGGACGGGAATAGAACCAATAAATCAGTATTAAGAACAGTGTGAAGTATGATATATCTCTTAACAACATGTTTTGGAGTATTTTTTAATAATGTTTGAACATCAGTGTTAAGCTGAACATTACACAATGTCATGTGATCTCCTTGAAATACGTTGTTGAAGAACTGTGTCCAGTTTAACTGGTAACCAGAAAACTGTAAATCCATATTCGATAGTATATCGGTATTTCGTTGCGTACAATCCCAGAATTCGGTGTTTAAGAATGAGCTTTCATCATCGTATAGTATCTGGAATAACAATATTAGTTATTATTCAATAATCATAAGCATAGAAACCCTTCCAGCTTATGCTTTCAGGTAGCAGCTTTTATAAACGGTTGCCTATTGATATATGACAACTTGTTCAGCTACGCTGTCTTAATTATCAAAAAATGAAATAAAATGAATGGAGTTTTACGTCCTACTTTTCTGCGACATGTGGGCTAATGAAGACGGGCAACGCCATACAGGATGCGATGAGGGAAATTTTGCCAGGACAGCGGCATTAGCCTGCTCTTTTTCGATTTCTAACTGTCGAGGGATCTTTAACAGACGCAGGGCATAAGGCACATAAGTTGATCACAGAATGTACCCATTCGAATTTGGAGAATTGGTCTCATTTAAAATGAATCATTTACAGTATCACTAGAATGCCGTATTGTTCGTGTTCCAATATATAGAACCACGAAGGGATACGTTATCACAACAGGGTGATTTAAAAGCTAGAATGTTTTTTGACCGACTCAGTTTAGGACTGGAAATACATATTTCATGAACAATTGTTTAATATCACTATCTACATTTCCCCTGAAAGTAAAGGGTGCAAAAAAGTCCTTTTATTTCCACCAGAACTTAGCGATAATGAAATGATAAAAGGTAATATATCAAATTAAAATTGTTCGATAAGAATTATTATTTATCTAAGTTTCTTTGTGAGAGATTCCAATTGGAAAGAATTTTTATTTTTGTTATGCTGTTTTATATCAGCTTTTGAAGTAACCTTTAAAACTGTTGATATTGGGAAATTGTTAGCTGAAGTGCATATTCCAATAAAATTGTGAATTCTTTGAGCGTTCGTGAAAAAAATCCTTCAATATCTCTGCAACGTGATTCTTTTAAATTAGATGGCTTAATGTTTTGGCGGTTTGCAAATACTCTAATCTTACTTTATAGGTTTTTGATAACGTTCGTAGGAAGTCGGTGTTGTTTTAGTCTGTTCAGTAAACTATCTCGACGATTTTTATATCAAGAACCAATACCGCCAATATCATTCAAGTATTGTTTCAAGATAAAATTACATTAGAGAAACTAAACTTGTCGGCTTCAACCTTGCATATTTTGTCAGTTTTGCTAGAGTTTTGTTCAATAAAGATCAAGTCAAAGAACATAATGGATGATTCGACATTGCAGTAGTATGCGACATGGCTATTAATAGCATTATGGTATGATACTTTTGGGCATGGCTATCAAAAGCCTAATTGGATGTTCATGGATAGTTTTGAACATGGCTATCAAAAGCCTTATTGGGTGTTCATGGATAGTTTTGTACATGTCTTTTGACCATCAACGGGACATATTAAAAACTAATTAATATAATTAAAAGCATTAATGGATTCCATGGCATGTGTATGGCACGATATATTGTGCTGTACTCAAATCATTTCTTCTAGAAGCAAAACTGGATGTTATGGGTTGTTAATAGCATGTCTACCAGCCATGTGGAATGCCATAGATTGCTTTGAACATGTATATCAATAATTGCTAGTAGTTAATATATTTGAGAGACTAGTTCTATGGATGTGTAACGATAAGATCTAATTGCAGTACTTTCATTGTTGTTCAGACGTTAATTTTCTTTGGATTGAAACTTGAATATTTATTGAATATGTAGGCATATCAACCATACAGAAGCGTGATCATAGTTGATCGTGTATGATAGTTTACATAGTTTGCTGGAGACCATTAGGTTCATCGTAAACATTCTAAATTTTTAATAGTCGGTTGTAAACATTTGAATATTTTGATGACGTGGACATCACTACTTTCAAAGTTTGGACCATTTATTATTATGCAAATTTTTTGTTGGTTGCAATATCCACAACTACAGTTATCTCCCTATATTGTTAGCATTGGAAATGTGTCTTATCTGTTTATAGTACTGAGAGCAAAAAGTGCCTGTTCAATTCAAAAAGCTCATGGTTTACCCCTAGTCCTCCTTATCAATTACAGTAAATCAAAGGCATAAAAATTCATAAAGCAGGTTGTGTATTTGAATGGTACAATGCCCTGATGATGAGTCCCAACAGTCTGCTATTTTATCATGTGTTAATATTCAAGAATCTTCCATCTTTCTGGTTTTCTAATGACTTGCTGATAGATGTGACTGCAGGGAATTCATATTCATATTTCAGAAAACTTCTAGTGGAACTCGTGAAATTTTATTTTTTAGATCTCAATGTTTTTCCTTTTTCAAATTTGACCGATGACTTTTGGATGAGGGAGGTGACATTTGAAAGCTTCACTGAGGTTATTATCATATACTTTTCTTTATCCTAAATTAATCTAAATTTGAATAATATTGTCCTTTTATTGTACTTGTACTACATAATCACGAGTGTGATAAACATTTCTTTTATGTCTTTGGTGGTAAATTGAAGTTGTTTTCATAATTATCATTTTTTTTTAGCTTTTTCCCTTTTTTCTTTGCAAGCTGATATTGGTTACTTATGAAAAATGCTTGGTTTCAAATTAATTTCAATGTATCTATTATCTATTTTATGAGTACCTGATATACACGTATTTCTTTGTCACCCTTTTCTGCACATAACAGTAATTGATGTTACTGAATTTTCTCCTCGGTCTATGCTTTCGTAATTTCAATTATATATTGTTTTTTTGCAATCACTTCTATCATTATTAGATTATCTGTGTTATTCAATAACATTCTCTCAAATTACCTAGTTGAGAATTGATAATTAAAGACAACATAACATACTGTATAAATAACATAATATAAATGAAAGTACAGAATATGACCGAGCCTATCATTGAACTCTCAGACAAAGAGTACTTCATGTTCGTCAAGAATAAAAATAAGATTGGGCAAATAAAAGCGCATTGATTAACTCCTTTATCATTTGTTGTGCTGTACAAACGTTTTTCTCCTTGAAGACGGCTTTAAGACCTGTAAAATCTTTTATAAGCTGATAATCGATAAAATAATATTGGTCGTTTATTTTGCCTGTCTTTATCTCGAAATAATAATGATTAAACGTTGAACACTTTACTAAGAATCAAAGGTAAAATTCCCTTTCTTAATGTTTACTTTATATTGTAATGTTTTTATATAAAAAGATATTTAATTACATTCCGGTTTATGTAAACGGACGTGTTTTACGTGGATCGATTATTAATGAAAATAAGGCCACTTGAGGCTAGTATTACCTGTAATCTGTATGAGAAGAAACGAAATAGTAGCTAACCAATGCGTTGATTGTAGTAAATGATCATTTTCCTATCATGCAATTTACACATTGGACTCGCGTGTATCTTGTCATTGACTATTTTTGATTTGTTACAACAATAATATTTTCCAATAAATCATTCTAAAAAAGCTTAAGGATATTTAAATTGAATTTTGCATTTTTTATCTTTGTAATTAATGATTCTGGGTCATTTTAGTTAACCAAATTGGAAATCTACATTCTCCTCAAGATATGATCACGCTGATCGATCTTTGACCCACATTGTCAGTAACACGTGGTGCTTTCTAAGATATGCAATTTACATCTATGTATCTACTTGATCAAACTAAATTTGTTTTAAAAGGGTTAATTAAAAACAGAGAACTAATTATTAATTAAGCAGTTTGACCTAGTTTTGGTGGCTTTATAATGGCTCGATATTATTAGTTGAAACCTTAAGAATACGTAAGAGACATATTTCTTTACAATTAGGCGTTTATTTTACTTAAATCCGTACAGTAGTTTTCTTGCAGCTTCCGAAAAGCGTAACGAATTTTAAAAGTTTACGTAAATTTTTCAAATAGTTTTGGCGTTGAAAAATTATCGGCCGGATTTTTTTAAGTTAAGGGACACATTTTTCTAGATTTTTGTGTATAGGTGTCATAAATTTGACCAAGAATATTCATCGACCTACAAAAAAGCCCCTTTAACAATTTAAACCACCAAAAATGAAGAGATAAACTTACCATATTCAGTTCATCTTCGAAGCTGAAAACCTCGTCCAAAAGCTTATCTACAGAAGTTGGTGATGATGACATAGGAACATCCGTCACTAATCTTCTCAGGAGATTTATTTTTTGCGTTTGAAGAACCTGAAATGAAAAAAATGTGACACACGATTCGTGAAAAGAGATGCTCTGATACAAGAAGAACATATTTTGGAATCCTTCTTTTCCTGACAATAACGAAGATAATCAGACAACGTTGATCAATTATTGGGCCGACCGTTAAAGAGCCATGTGAGACAGATTGAGATGAAGTGTAACACATCCCGATCCAAAAAGATAGCCGTGACTCACTAACAGAGAATTGTTGTTTTCTGATAAACACTATCATGTTTTACCATCTTTCTGTGATCAAAGCAGTTTCTGTCAAGAACTAATAGCCCTTAATGGATATATATTGTACTGGATAATGGTTCAAGGTTTTAAGTGCTTTAAATCTGTGAAATGTGCCTGGTGACATCACAAATCTAGTTAAATATAACCAAGAGAATGTCAAGAATCTTCATCATATGACGTTTCACGTGGTTCTTTGAATTGGAGTTCTTTAAAAAAGAAAGTCTGTGAGATTTTGAAATTAAGATCGAGTGCTTCAATTTAATGTGACTCCTTTTTATAATAAAGTCTTTTATAAATGAAATGAATGACATACTTCAACTTTATCGGATTCAGCTCTATAGTAAAATTCACTCGGCAACAGGAAGCGGAAATTAGGGATATCGTCGGAACTATCCCGCAGCAAATTGACCAGGCGATCAGAATATCGATTAATCACCTAAAACAGAAAAGGAATAAAAGAATATAAAACAGTACAAGTATTGAGTGATAACTTTTTATAATCTATGACATGTTGTATAGTTAATACAATATCACACATTTGCATAAAACTGTGGGGTTAAAGGAATACTGATTCTACTTATTAGCCTCAAAGTGAGTTGGTTAAGCTACCATGTCGTTTGCATCACAACTCGCATGTCGGATGTCAATAACGGCAAAGTCGAGAAAACAGTGGATGACAGTAAACACATCGATTATTCTACTAGCTTTCAAAGTAAGCTGTATATTTCCCTTTAAGAGACCAAATGGTACAAAATGGTGGCAATATCCGTAGAAATTAAATAAGAGAAACACGAACAACATAACACTCAGTTAATCTAGATTAACATCTGACCCAATTTCCTCTAATAGAATCAGGCTGACAAGTGTCCTAATTGGACAAATTATGACTACTTGGAAATTACAAAGTCTGTACGATCATTTTTTTTACTGTAAGTTTAGATCATCAATATTTAGATTCTTAAAATTTAGCTGATTTCTCATTAAAACAACCATAAGACTTTTGAGAATCACATCAGCTTATTTTTTTTTATTCTTACCACTGCGCGAGTGATTTTTGGTGATTGTATGTCCCCGAAAGCACATTCAGCTTAGTAGATTTAGGCTTGTGAAAAGTACGAATAATTGTTATTTACGACTTGTGTTCAATTTCAGGATACAACACTGGCGACGCCTCCTCGGGTACGGGGAGGTGTCGTTGACCAAGGATACGTTCTCGGAACTGTTCAGACGCCTCCAAGGGCACGGGGCGTTAGTAATTTGGTTTTTATTGTTAAATTCGGATATTGGTACTTACTACATAGGAGTCAGCAAGATTTGGACTACGATTAGCGAATAGGTCTTGCAGAATATATAAGATTGAGGTCAACTAGAGAACAACAAATCAAAGAAATATATGTCCTGGATAATTCGCTTTGCCCTTATCTTCAACTAGACAAACGGTCTACGAATAGCAATTGAACCAAAGTACAGTATTTACCATTTACAGGAATCATATTCATAATGGAACTGGTTCACCCTCTAGTCATACAACAATAAAAGATTCCAAGATGATTTCTATTTGGATACAGGTTAGTTTGTCTGGAAGTCAGACACTTATGAACAAATAAAGAATCGTAACACATTCCAGAAACCACCAGATGTTATTTTGGTCTGGGAAATCAAATTGTCGAAACGTGTATATTCGGCCTTGGGAGGTTAACATGCCAAAGCATCTTCATATTTCTCTATATTTACTGCTTCCCACAGATGGACAATGATAACTCGCTAGTGCCGACGTTGCTTTTTCATCCTTCCATGTCGGGTCTTCCGATCATTGCGAATTCACCAAGCGTTGGATTGTTCACCCACCAACAGGGAACGTGAACTGGTTTTAGACCGTTACATGAGATGAAAAGCCTTGATGGTGAGAGAATGTCCCGAAGAAATTCTTGAATAAAGATGTTTTTTCTAGGAATAAACTAAATGTACTTTCTTTCATTTCACAGGTTTGGTTTGTTGTCTGCTATAGATTTTATCGTTATGAATGGTAGTCTTAATATGTCAATTTTTCTCTGTGATGAATATCATTCAGTATCGTATTCATTAATATATATTACAGTGTATATTATTATGACTTGTAGGTATGATTGATATTTAATTAATATTACTAATAATAAATGAGTACAAATCTGTCACGCCATGTTTTTCTACTATATTTTGAATCTTGAAACAATATTTTTTCTCGGGCGAAACCGAAGGCATAAGACTAGAAATTTCCCCTTTTAGTTTTGATCATAATTCACCTGAATATCAATTCTGGAATAAGTCTTCCCAATACAACAGACGCAACAATCAATATAATGAGAAAATAATGACGAATGAACTGATTTATTATCACAAATAAGCAGGATTCGTGATTAGTTTCAAATATTTATGTAGGTACAGATTTGGTATAGTTTAAAATAATGTATATACATTTTATAATAGCATACGAGAAAGCATATTTAAAACTGAACAAATTCTGTAAATCAATTCTGTAAACAAATAATGTATATACATTTTATAATAGCTTATGTGAAAGCATATTTAAGACTGAACAAATTCTGAAAATCGAATAAGACAACAAAATCAAATATTCCCCCCTCTTGTAACCTAAATAAATAAACCAAAATTGATAAAACTGTGTCCAAAGGGAGATATAACATATCTTATTATGATGTATGGTGAATACTTTTTGTAAAGGACAGCGATTTATGCGAAAGAATGTTCAAATCGATTTTAAAATTCAAGTTAGAGACCAAACAAAGAGACTACCCCGCATCCTTTGAGAAATTGTTACAAAAAAACTCTAGGCAATTAAAATCTGGCCAGACACCTATCTCCTATATTAAACCATGTAATGGGAAATTTATGGTAATCTGTAAGACCAGATGAATTTAGAATGATATCATTGTAGCTAATAAATGTTCAAATTAAAACCAATCCGTTCTATTTAATTCTCTCATATTAAATACTAATAAATCTTGAACCTGGTAAATCTCAAACTGAAAATAAATTTCACCAGAATTAGACGAAAATAGCCCCAAATTATTGATTTAGTAGATAGCAGTGATTTCTTTCTCTTCATATGTCTACATGTTATTTTATTAGATGTACAAAAATCGACATTAATTCTTTTGTCAGAACTTTTGTAAAAGGTTAAAACATATTACAAGACACAGCATTCCGTATACTGTTTTGTACCAATTCTAAATTAAAGTGTCTACATATTTTCTGTAAGTCAACATCAAATGTGTTATATCATCAACTATATTTTATTAAAATCGGTGTACTAGCTTTTGATTTGAAATTTCAAGACATCAATTTCCGGTAATTTCAAGATAGAGATATTGCTCTGAGTATCCTCGCTGAGAGGCATACAAACTTTCAGACTATACCACAACGCTTAATTAGACGAATAGTCGTCCTCATATAAATTGTATTTCTCTGTGCAAATTTTTCAAAGGTTTGAAATTCGTCAGCATTTTCTCAAATGTCAACCTATGATGGAATTAGAGTATCTTTGTCCACATGATTACATTCTGTACAAATTCTGTAGCTAATCAAGTAAGGACGACGCGGTGTTAATTAGAAACGGACAAACAGTAATTTAATTGCTGGACATTAGTGATCAGTGTGGAGTTCCACTCATATATATTATTGGATCATCTAGCCCCGCTTGACCTGTGTATGACCAGTAGCTAAATGACCATAAAGATAAATAGTAGAATTGATTATATATGGGACCTGTTCACGTCTGGAGGAACTAGCACTGTTAATTTGACGTGGGTAAATAGATCTACGTGTCAATGTTTCAGAGAGCATCCAGGGAATTGGGAATGTTTGCTTTAAATGATGTTACTGTCAATTGCGTCTAGCTATTAAGTATTATTCTAACATTTGGTGTGACTTGATTAATTATTTAAACTGTTGGAACAAAAACCATACATTAGAGTAAAATACTTAATGACCAAATACACTGTCTCAAACGAAGAGGGACATAAACTTAAATGAAACAAATTGAATTTTATGTGCTACTTACATCGCTGTTTGACTCCTCATTGCGCTAATGAAGATGATCGTAAGTAGTGCAAAGAACACACAAGAGACAACTCTATGTGGGTCGAGAGTGTCCAAACCGAAAAAAGGGCAAATCTTGTGGCACTCCTTGAAAGTCATATTAATAAGCCTGAGCATCCTAAGAGTTTAAATGATGGGGATTATAACGAGATGCTTTGTTAAAGTCTGGAAATTTGAGACATTATTAAGACTTGGCTTTAAATTATGTTGGTGTTTTTATGTTGCTTTGGTGTTTTGAAATATTTTGCCAACCAACAGGTGGGCAATAACCTGCATAATGTACAATTGTAGTAGAAAACGCGTTCTATAAATCGTAATTTCCTAATTACAAAACACCATGCTACAAATGACACAAAATGAAGTCTGATGTTGATTTTTCTTCCAAACAAGAAGTGATACACTTCTTCAAAACTACACACAAGAAGGTACGATACTTACCGAAAATTTGCCTCTTTCATGTATGATAATTTTAAAGAATGGCGAAGCACCATATAATCTGGTAACATTAGCTAATAGTGACGTCAAATCATAGTCCGTATCTTTTAATCTTGACGAAAGGTGGATACCACCTAAACTATTCACTACCTCTAAAACTGAAATGAAAATAACATTCCGTCAACATTTTTAGTGAATATCCATCTGAAAAAAAGAGGGCTAAACTCGCGAAAAGATTCCATCTTTAAAAAAGAGGGCTAAACTCGCGAAAAGATAGGGGGATTTTTCATAAAATTCAGAGTTTTCAGACCTATCATATGTATGCTCAATCATAAAGTTGACCGGAAGTGATACGTTACGCGTTGACAGGACGTTAATTGTCCTTATAAACCTACATCCGGTTGAATCTCATAAGCATGCTGTCCTTGAGATTTACATTGTACAAATTTGGTAAATAACAATGTCCAAATTGGACCTTTAATGTGGACTGTTTTCAATAATAATGAAAAATCTTGATAATCAAAAAATAAGGAAATTAGACCACAATACAAATATTTCCTTAATATATTCGATTTCTACTGAAAGTTTCAAAAGAAACCTAGGTTTGAGCTAGCTGAAAGCCGGATTGAACTCTCATTTCCTTCGATCACTTAAGTGTTTATCTTATTTTGCAGCTAATGACATCTTCAACATAACAACCGCTGCCTACTTTATTTGGATTTTTTGTAAAAGTGTCTCATATACCGCTTTTTAAAATAATACAGAATATAAAGCCATCAATTTAAACAAAAATCTATCAAATTAGAAGGATATCTATCTACACATGGTTAATGTCGCATACATGGTTAGGCAAAAGAAACCATAAAACCAGATGCCATAACCAAGTTTAAAAATCATTTAAAATTCTAAATTGATGTTGATAGCTTCAGGCTTTATATCGTTAGCGACAAATTTAAATATTTCTACTTTAAAGCAGCTATATTCCTTTGCATGATTACAGATCATGTGGGTGGAAATGATTGGATTTTGAGTTTTGATCAGAAACATACATCGTTCATCATAGATACATCGTACATCATAGATACATCGTACATCATAGATACATCGTACATCATAGATACATCGGACATGAAATACCATGTCCAGAAATAATTACTTTTGAGGTTAACTTTATCTTAGAGCCTCTATATTTACAATGACGGGCTCTTACGATCTGCGTCTAACACATTGACTGCAAAAGCAACTTTTCTTGTATCACAGAAGACAGCGAATACAGCCATTCATAGCAGTCATGGCTTATTGTTTACAGACTTTCTGTCGAGTACTATGAGTGACAATCCTACCAAATCGCTGCATTTACATAATTCCGTGATTCAAGAAAGGTGGCTATTGCAGTTAAGGTAATGGATGCAAGTCGCAATAGCTTGACATCGTAAAGATGAAGAGTTTCAAGTCAGCAGATTTCAAAATTCTAATAACCACGATTTCGATCATACCAAGCATATAAGCCACTTTAAGGGAAGCGATGATACATGTTTCAATAACGTAAGAATATTACTCGTTCAACGTTATGAAACTAATACAGTTAGTGATAATAAAAAAAGTATTTTGACAGATTATCCGTCATGATTCGCTTACATGCTTGTCTAGTTCCTAGCTGTGTATCCAGAAGACACGATCGAAATAAAGTCTTGAAATTACTTGTCATTAGGCTATCTGTAGGCAGATAAGATTCTGACAAAATATCTGAAATAGGAAATGACAACAGGAATTAAGATTAAAGGAATTCTTTCTGGTTAATTACACATTGGAATACAATAAATTTTAAAAGATTAGTAAAATTAAAATCTTGGATAATGACATCAAATCGCAAATCAGTCAGGCATATGGTACTTGCGACAGTAACATTATAATGGGACCAAATGTTTTAGAAATGTAAGGTACCGAGGGTCGGTAATCGGAATAGAGAAAATATACGCCACGTGTCCTTTTACAATCCCTTATTTCATGAACATCTGATGATTCCCTGTATTTCAGTACACATGATAATTAACAAATTGCATCGCATATAGTTAAAATCGCATCGCAGAGCAAGTAGTTAAAGTGGTTTTAACAAAATAAAGTTTTTCCAATTTCTCAGTGAAGAATTTGTTCCACGCTAGGCCTGTACATTTTGGAGAATCAAATTCTCTTTTCCCGAAATCAGATAGAAAACTGACTGATCGATTGCTGGAAGGTTCTCCTTCAACATCATAAGAAATATCTTGTTAGTAAAGCGGAAGGGTACGAATCATAGTTCATTCAATACATCAAATTCTTTGACGCAATATCAGTTAAAGGTATCAGAAACCAGTAATATGAATTATGAGAGAATTAGTTACCGTATGTTATTTAATATTTCTCTAGAAATCTGACATGATCCGTTATAACACTTTTAATCCCTCAAATTTACAGCAATTTGTAAACTGGAGATTTTATTCGCAAACAAAAATGCATATCTTAGAGTGACATACTTAAATGTTTCGTTCAATATTAATACTTCATTGTAACATAATAGCTATTTTACAGGCCAATATAATTATTCAAAAAATGAGTCATTATAAAAATTATAAAATTATCTGCAAGATCGTGTTCAAAAATCAGAAGAATATAATGTTTCTATTCGTCTCATCTGATCTGCATTTTTTTCTTAACTGAAATATATCAATTACATCTTCATGAGAGGAATGTTGTACTCCATTTGTGGGATTTTTCACTCTGAAGGAACTGAAAGGGATAGATTCACCATTTGTTTGACCAATCGTACCTTAGTCTCAGAAACGCGATTTTTTAGCTAAGCTAATTGGTAATAGTGTTCATGGCTCACCGTCGAAATTTGAGCTTCAATTCCATGTGTGACCAGAATTATCGGCGATGGAAAGTTAAATTGACGAGTTGTCTGTTCTTGAGAACAATAAGAAAATATAATTCTAGAATGGGATTGTGCTATTTTCGTACATTTCTAGTACTGAAGATTATTTACATATTCAAGACCAAAATTCAAGGTTAAATTTAAGACGATAATATCTGACAAGAAGAACATGGCTCACTATAAAGCATTTTCTATAAAAGTGTAAATTTCCATTTTTCTTGTTGAGACATATTATTTTAACACATTTAAATAGTTTGGACAAGATTCCGGAAAGCTATCAACAAAGCCTTTTCTCAGTCAGTAAGTAAGAAGTATTTTGAGTATAAATACTGGCGATTCTATTGTCAATAGAGTGAGTCGGTTTGAAACTGGTAATGTCGGTCATCGCCTGACAAGACCTCTGGTAATTGACCACTGACCGGTAAATGAAGAATGTATATAAAACTGACACAATCTAATTGATAGAGATCACAATTTCCTTACTACCCATAATGAAAAAGGATAAACATTGTCAATTGATCTTTCTTGTAAGAATGAATAAAACATTGTATATCGTGGTTACTTCGACCTGTCTATTTAAAGAGGCCGTCCCAGATTGAAAATGAAGGGATTGCATTTTGCGCTCCTTATTCTGTATATGATCATATTTGTAACTTAAAATGAAATTTAGTTTATGTCCTTCTTTCTCTTTCTTGATAGGATCAAGGAAGACCTGTAATACCAAGACGCGGCCACAAGAGATGCTAAGAGGACCTTTCCTTTGTACGACATAATTAGGGTTATATACATATTTTTTCAAATTAGCAGTTTGATGACGTCTAAATATGATTGATTTATCGGCAGAACAGTAATCAAAAGAAAACGCAATCGAAGTTACATTCATCGATTATTATCTATCCCTGTTAATGTAGTGTAGATAAACAGACGATTTTTCTAAATGTTCGTAAATAAACAGATTAGATATTGGCTAAATGTGCTTAATTGCATTGAAAAATAAGCGTTTCTGAAGGAGTAAACACGTTCTCATGCATGCCTCTGTACAATCTATTGGTTCGAAATTTTAATTAGGTGAATAAAGGCAAAAAGCTTCGGGTTCTATCCTTAAAAATATACTTCTTGGGTCAGATGATATTCGAAATCAGGATTCAAAGTTATCACGAATAGGGGTGGTTCGGATACATAGCTTTTGAACTTGATACCTATCTGTATAAAAGCCTACAAGTCAGTTTAGTCCGCATAAACATTGCATGATAGATCAATGTATTTTGACGTACAGTGTATTTTATATCCACCGCTTTTAAACATACACTGCTCACTAAATGAGATCCAAAGTTCGGTAAGCGGTCTTGTTCTAAAACAATTATTGATATAACGATTTATTATTATTATTGATTCAGAGAATTTGATGGCCGATAAACAATACGGTTGATAGATGACAAGTTATCGGCCGTCTCTCCAGCAGATGCTGATGTCGAAGACTGAGTAGTTGATCGTAGTAGTTTGCTGTTGGATCAGTACGGTTGTAGTGTCAAGCGTTAACAGGACGTCGATTATCGTCCTCAAATAACGTATATTGGTTAAAACAAAATTCTAAAAGGCTCGAATCAAAACTCGTAACGTGCACTAGATAACTTGTTAAGTAGGCTGATTTCTAGTAATGAAAAAATAATAAGGTTTAAATTCATATTACGTCTGTGCATTCAATATGTGATCGAAAACTAGAAAATTTGGGAAAGGTAGAAGACTTGCCTATTAAATATGATGCGTAGGAATCGAGGATTTGGTCTGGGTTTTCTTTTAATCTTGTCTTGTGCCAGGATAAGGAAGCCTTTTTGGCAAATCCACCACATGCAAACTTGTTGAAATCCTGAAAATAAAATTGCCAATATTAGAAATGTGAAAATCTTAAAGGCAAAACTCATTGATTAGGTGCCATTGTTTCTAAATTTTAATATTGAACAGTTCATGACCAAAAATGACTTGGAAGGTATTTTATTGGGATAAAGGACTTTGAATTAAAAAATAAACCTCTTTACACAGTTTTCAACAAAATATAAAGGCAGTAATTATTTATGAATTTCAATGGTTATAAAAATGGTATGAAAACATTCCGATTTTTAATTTTCTGTCAACGGCTTTAGCTCCAACTTAGATATAACTTAAATATTTTGAAATGTACATGGGAGCACACTGCCGCTTAAAGTTGTTGCAATTATTAAATATCAGCTATTCAAGTAGCCATACATCATACGCAACGAGAAAGGTCATTTCAAAGAACAACGTCAATCCTAATTTAATTCTAGTACAGAAAAGGCTCTTCTACAATCGTTGATATTTTTAGTTGATGTTTGTCAACTAAGAGTAGTTATGAAATTATGCCATGACTAATATAGCCATCACTTCTCTCTGAAATAATTAAATATGGCATTTTTTCTTTATATTAGCCAAATCATTTTAATCGACCGTGCTTCTGTCAGTACAGTTAAAGGACATGTTCCAATACGATTTGATGTCCATTTAATGGCTGTATTTTCAATAACAAAGATACTATTTGTCGGAATCTCTAAACAATAAGTCAAAAGAGTGGATCCTGAGTTCCTTCCTATATAGCGACACAATTAGCAGATATAGCTTTTATCACTCTATAGACAGAATGAACAATTTAAACTCGGGAAGGGAGGGCTTGAATTCTACCAAATATACAGATGATTATATTACTTTTTTCTTAAAATAAGAAGCTAACAAGTCGTTCCTAACACGAAGTTTGGTCTTCCGTTAGATATACCTTTATCATCACAGATTTGTTTTGCTATGTTGTTTAAAAAAAGCACTTTTTAAATGCATTTTTAAGAATCTAAGATACAAAGATTGGTAGAAACAACATGCCTCATTACAAATCCAGAAAAAAATAATTCATTCACGATGTGACTCAGTTGGTTATCTGACACATCAAATCATGTTAAGAAAATTTTCTAATTATGCGTCAATCAAGAAGCTGCATTTTGATTCTGAGTAGCTTTATTTTATTCTAATTAACAAAAGTGACTTTTTCAGTGACATGGCTATGAACTATCAGCACTTGAGAGATTAAATAATACATGTAATATGAAAACTATGAAAATCTTAAATGGACCAGTTTCTTACTCGAGATTCCTATCAAGGCATTATTGAATGGCTGAAAGAACCCCACCAATTCAAACCTTTTTTTTTAAATGACCAAACCGAATAA